CGTGAAATTTATGTTATTTGTTTGCCACTAAAAAACTAAAATAAATATTTAAAAAAAAAAAAAACTATTGCTTCGTTATTATTATTATTATTATTATTATAATTATTATTATTATTATTATTATTACTATCATTATTATTTTCATCTGTGCAAGTATCAAAGCAAACTTTTTTTACACTGTTGTTTTTGTTCACGAATATGATTAAGTAACATAATACAAACATTTTAATTAATATCAAATTGGTTCATTCATTTTATTAATGTGTATAATAGGGCTGTATATTAGTATTATATTATTAATGCATTTATCGTTGTATTTTTATGGTACGTATTATTTTCAAAATTATTGTCCATGATCGATGCAAATATGTTGACATTGAAAACACTTGTTATTTTTTAATATGTTCCTATATCTTACACGCGTAATGTTCTTAATGTTGCAAAATACTGTAGGTACCGATAAAATGAATATGCCTGCAGATACACAGCCCTATAATAAATATAGTGTTTCTACCTCCTTTTAATGATTGTGCCAGTTAAACATAAATAATATTTTGTAAAAGTTTAAAAATAATAATATTTAAAAACAACTTCATCTATGTATTATGCAATAAATCATACATTTTATTATACCTAAAATATACTCTAATATTTTAGTGTGTACCTAGAAGTATAATTCAGACTAACTGGAAATTGTACTTATAGATTTTTAAGTTATTTATGTATAATTAAAACTGTACAATGTATATATATATTATAAATATATTATATAAATTATTATTATTATTATTATTATTATTATTATTATTATTATTATATTATTTTTATTTTATTATTATTTTTATTATATTTTTTCTTGGCAAAACGCTAGTCATTTTTGCCAGATATATTAACGTACAGAACCCTCTTATATAAACATTATTGTTTCAAATTTGAAATGAGACTGAAGACAGTTAAGATAATTTGATTTTCAGATTTAAATTTAAAATGTACGTATTTTATGTTTTTTTTTTTTAATTTATGTGCCAAATTTTCATAATTTTATTTTCTCGCCATAAAAATATATAATTTTGTAAATGTTTAAATAAAACAGAAACATTAAGCACATTCCAAAATTGTCTACCATATAGAAATATCGTTAAGTTTTTTTTTTTAATTTTTAATTTACTGAATTTAAAAACAAATTGGGACTGTTACTGTTGCTAATATTATTTTGTAATATTTAATAACTACCTATAGGTACATAAAATATATATATACATTATTTATAATAAGATATTGTTTTTATACTTAATTTTATTTAAAATGAAAAAAATGTGCAATTTGTTTTATATGATTTTATTTGTTTTTGTGTCTTGAGTTATATCCCTATAGATTGTTCATTTCAACAATTTTGTACACAATTTTTTTTTTTTTGTTCTACCGTATTTTTAGGAACTTGAACAAAATATTCTGTTGACTCTAATTTCCTTTGTAATATAGATAAAAACATTTTATGTATAAATATTATTATATGTATATATTATTTAATGTGTCTTATAAACACACATTTTAATCACTCCTCATGTCCATTATTATTAATTATTATTATTTTATAATAATCTAAAACAAGTTAAAAATAATCTATTAACAAGACATTTAAATGACATTGTCGTTTTTAAGTTTATAAACTGACAAAATTAAATGTTATCTCATGATATTATATTAATGTAGCCATAATACATATAACTATTAAAAACATTCATTAAGATACCTCACCTATCAACTATTGTGTCTTTATAGTCTGGCAAAGAGGTACGATGGTTTTGTAAAGAATATTGCAAATTTCATTTCAAACAAATTTAAAATTTAATGCTTTTATATACATAACTATTAACTGGTACATTGCCATTTAAAAAAATACATATCTATTTTTGAAAAATAATCAACTGAAAAATTACATCAGTTAAGTGATATCCATTTTTGTCGAGGCATTCTTGTAGACAGGTGTCGAAATCAGTGGCGTTCCTAAAGGGGGGAGAGGGTTAGGGGTTATACCCCCCCCCTCTATTGTCGAAAAAATACAACAAAATATGAAAACTCTTAAATTTTTAGCCGATTTTCGAGAAAAAGCTTGATGTATTGATTAGAAATCGGATTTTTTTTTAGGAACCGGCTTTAAATAACCCATTCCCATATTCGAGTTTAATAGAAAAGACAATTTTTACTCTTTTCCACGATTTTTATTTGTTATATTCCCTCCCATTGAAAATTTCGGGGCTCTCTCCACTCGTCGAAATTGCCCATATTTCTTTCGAGCATGGCACGTGGTTTGTTAGTATAAACTTGAGCTTTTAGGTAGGTAGCTCCATAAAAAGTAATCACAAGGTAGCGAATCCGGTGACCTAGTTGGCCACTCCATATCCCACACAATGAAATCAGGCATCCTGGGAAATGCTGTCTTAAAAAAGCCATTATTTCTCTTAATGTATGTGTGTATGTGTGTGAGCACCACAGAACGACCCGTTTCGATAATGGCTAAATGTTATTTATTTATGTTTTTTTTTTTCCTTGGTATCTTTTTCCGATTACCGTAAGGTCAGCAACTTTGCGATACGCGCCAGGCGTTGTACTTTTCTTCGCCCAGCCAAAATCAAGAATTTACCGCTTCTGATTGGCGGAGCCGTCCGTCTCGCTACAGTCCCGCACTCCCCTCAAAACGCAGGCTGCAGTCACTGTCTCGAGTATCCGGTCTCGTCGATTTGTCGTGCTATTTTTATTATGGGAACGATTCTAGTTTTTATTTAACTCTCAAACGGTTTTATTTTTAAATTTTTTTTTTTTAAAATGTGTTTTTTCACGTGTACATTACAAATATGAACATATAAGTCGAACGATTATAATTACTATTAATTCGTAATATTTATTATTTGTAATATTATATTATTATTAATAAGTTTTCTTACTAAGCAGTACTTGCGTAATGTCGATAATGTCATATTGTCAACAACCGCAATAAAATGCCGAGAACTACATGCAAATGTTGATAAGGTTAATTATGATTTATACATTAACTCTGTCAATGACATTTACCGTAATTAACCAGGCTCTAATATTAATTTGATTGGCGATTACAATCTTCCTAACATTTTATGGTCTCGTGATCCAAATGATAGTACAATTATAACTTCTTTATGTGAAGCAAACTCAATTGAATCTATCAATTGAATTTAAATTTCAAAAGAACACATACAAATCAAGATTACACTATATTCTCTAATCTTGGCAAACAATGTAAAAACCAAAGTAATTTAGACTATGACAAATATTTAAAAAATGTTCAATACTTAATTAGCGTTAATAGTAAATTTTTTTGGAATTTCATCAAATGAAAAACGTCAAATAACTCTGCCCCAAAACATGTTTTTAGATATATTAACGCTAATAATAGCCAAAAAATAATAAATTTTTTTGTTAAGCATTTTGGTAGCGTTTATATTGAATCAAAAGTACCTCCAGATTATCCAGTATTTTATAACAATAATTCAACACATATTAACTGTATTAATTAATCATACAATGGTATATACTTTTTATTAATAACTGAAAATCTTGTTTATAACCCTGATGGATTATCTACATATTTCTCAAAATCTTTTATTAATTATATTATTTTTCCTATTCAATTTGTCATTTCATTAGGTACTTATCCTAGTTACTGGAAAACCTCATATGTAACCCCTATTCCTAAAAACAATGTCTTAACTGACGTAAAAAATTATCGTCCAATTTCTATAATTTCAATCTTGCCAAAAACATTGGAAGATTTAGTATCCTAAAAAATAACCTCGTATTTTAAAAATATATTAATAGATTACCAACATGATTTTCGTGCAAATTTTTTAACAAATACAAACCTACTCACGTTTTACCACAATGTTCTTAACTGCGTTAATGAAGATTATTATGCTGATGTTTTATACACAGACTTTGCAAAGGCATTTGATAAAGTAAATCATTTCTTATTATCACAAAAATTAAATAATATCAGTATAGGTAACCCTATGTTATCTTGGATAATATCCTTTATCACTAACCGAATTCAAATTATCAAATACAACAATTTTTTATCTAACTTTATTCGAATTTTTTCTGGAGTTCCCCAAGGTTTTTCATTTTTCTCCACTATTATTTAATGTTTTCATAAATGATTTACCCTTCAATGTGCACTTTGGTAAGTTATTTTCTTTTGCTAATGATTAAAAATTATTGGGATCTGTAAAATCGGTAAATAACGCATATTTATCATAGTATGACATTTACGCAGTTGAGAAACGGTGTCTCGAAAATAATACGAGTTTAAACTTATTCAAATATAGTGTTATCTTTTTTAATCAGATAAAGGAACCTGTAAGATATTCCTATTCGATATGAAATGTTAAGTTGCCAGAATTTTCTCAATTGTTAAATATATTAAAGACTTGGAAATTACAATTTCATCTAATTTAACTTTTAACCACTACATCTCTTTGGTCACCCCATCAGTTATATTTAATTCAAGATATGGAATCCATACAAAATAGATTTTTACGCATTGTATCTTTTAATTGTAATATTTACAGAGCTCTACATTCATCTTGTTCGATTTTACTGTTGTTTGAATATAGACACTCTGGAAATAAATCGTATAAAATTAGATTTGATATTCTTGTAAAAATTATATAAATAGTTCGAAATTATTAGCAATGATTAATTTTAAGATTTTTTTTTTTCTAACCAGTTAATCGACAGCAGTGGGAGATCAGTTTTTCACATCGCTACCCCACTACTACCATCGTTTATTAATTAGTATAATTAAGTAATGTTTTGTAAAATCCTGATTTTCCCTTCGGGGCAGGCTTACATTATTAAATATGCTAATTAAAACTAAGGTGAGAAGTGAACGCGTCAACACCTGACATTATGCTAATTTAACTTAACCTGTACATGACCTTGAGCCGGTGGCTGGGTCCTGTTGCGTAAAAACTTTGGTGCCCAGGACTGGTGAGGCCACTGCTCCCATGGCAGCTGATCAGCCCTTGCTTCAGCCTCCCTTATCCTTTCATCGTGCTCCTTGCGGCTCAGTATGACCTCTACTATGCGATAGAAAGACTGTGAGCTGTGAAATGAGGCCACCTTGATCTGATCGTGTAAAGCCCGATTAGAATCCAGGGATGGGATATCTTTCGGGCCGCAGAACAAGTTTTGAACGTCACTGGGAGCTATGTTTCTTCCGTTAACATACGTCTAACATACGCTCTGACATCTTGCCTGTAGAGTTCCCAGTGAGGGCATACGAAGTCGATTAGTAAAACCCTTTCAAGGACGTCGATCCCCAGGAAGTCATCGCAGAAAACGTTTCATAGGGTAGGGCCGAGAACGGAGCCGTCCGTCACCGACCTGACGGAGCTGGACCCGTTGGTGAGGCGAATGATGAGAGTGCAGTAATACCGATTTGTTCTACCCAAACCCTGGTACTAATTTTTAATGTCTAATTCATTATTCAATCGCAGTTAACATTAGCAAATAAGTATAATATAGATCTTTTTGTAAATAGTTTATATGAATTTAAAAGTTATCTATGTAACTTAAAATAATACCTATGATATTAAGATTATTGTTATTTATTGAATATTTGATTATATAATTGTAATTGGACTTAGGTCCGTATGAAATATAAAAAGATAAATAAAATATAAAGTATACTAAATAGTGGGGATGCGCACTGCTGATCAATATATGAACTTTGCTATCATTTTTATTTATTTTGTCATGAAACAAATGATGTGCTACACATCACCACTGAACTTTATACATAGAACGCGCATTGCATATGATTTGTGTTTTGAAAAATGTCCCCCGATAGGAGGCCGCTATATTGATTTTGTTAATGAATTACTCCATGAAAAACATAAAGAATAAACCAAATAATCTGTGATTATATCAGAGAATAACAATAACATTATGTGGAAACATAAAACACACAGTAATATAACTCTATGTGTGGAAATCAGAAATAGCCGATAGGATAATAGTAAATAGATATTGATAAAAAAAAAATCTCAAATAAACAGTAAGAATTATCACTTTAAAGTTTAAACATTTTGAAGTATAGCTAAACACGTCAAGATTTTTCGCTTATTTTTTCTTATTATATCAAAATTAATTTTTTTTTTATTTTATGAAAATTTCTTATCCTGACGAAATGTAATATACATAATAATGTTATATAATTGTATTAACATTATTTAAAAAAATAGGAAAGGAAGTAGTATGATATAAAAAAATACTAGTACATGTACCTACATACAAGTTTTATTTTCAAATTAGCGAGCTGAAATTAAATTGTTTCAAAATTAGTAGAACTCCTTATAAAAATAAAAAAGGAAAAGGAGCCTTTATTTTAATAACTTATACACATGTACACAAGTGTACAATATGTACTCGTGTAACATTTTATATTCGGAGCATAGCGAGGTATCTATTGATATTACCTATTATAATGTGTGTTTTTTCATATTTTTTTTTAAATATTTACTATTTTAACAACAATTTTATTTCGGGTTTTTCCCAATTATTTTGAAAACCCCTTAGAAAATTAAAAAATTACCTTCTCGATGCACCAACTAGAGAAAATTTCCTTTCAGAAAAGGTGCTACACTTCGGATTAATATTTCTGATAGAAAAATTGTTCATATTTAGAAAAAAAAAAATTTTAAAAAACACATCATAGTAAAATCCAATGGGTTCCTCGCTACGCTCCAAATATAAAAATTGAATAGACATCAATGGAGACAGGCTAAGACAAGGATGCTCGCAGGTTAGGTCTAGCCGTCCCTCCCCCGCTATTTTAGTTAATAATAAATATTAATTGTTTTATTACTTGAATAACTAAAATATTGAAGTGATGATTACTTGTAAGTTGTAAACAAAGTCTTATACTTTTGACTTTGCCCCCCCCCCGGGTTATATTTCTACGAGCGCCTTTGGGCTAAAAGAGCTGGTATTTTTGTGTGGCCAAATGCGCTGAAGTCTTAAAACGACTTTGAAGCGAATGAACATAATTATAATTGTACGCGATCCAGTACTGGTTAGGTATTTCAAAAAGTGATCTGTGTATAAATTAAAGTATTTTTATAAAAAATGTTACCTATGTACTTGGGGGTTTAAAAAGTGAGTGTAGAGATGGCCCGTCTGTCATGCAATGGCTAGGTACTTAAGACCCAGCAGTCCCTGGTTACAGTCATCATTTTAATTGCCTACCGAACTGTTGTAGGTAGGTATTGGTAATTATTATGTGAACATCAATACCTTACCTAATATTTAGGCGTAATTCTACAATTTGTAATAGGCCGTCATAGTATATTTTGTTTAGATGTTTTGTCCTAGATTATCTGAACGTGGTGAATGCTATTGATTAAGCTCTCATTAAAAGTCCATAATATTCAATATTAATAAGTAATAACTATTTAGTTGAATAACGTTCAAATTTTAGACCACGAAATTATTACAATAAACTGTGCAATATTATAATAAAAGGTATAGATAACAGTGGCGGATTTTCATCATTTTCCTAGTGGGGGTCCTAAAAAATCATATGTATCTATTAATAGATGTTTTTTTATACATTTTATTGAAATTATATCAGTGTCCGCACTGATAGGTAATATTTTATTAAGTATAGTTTTTGGACAATATGCACAAAAACTTAATTAATTATTAGTGTTATATTTTATTATGCCGATAAAAACTGTTTTCACATTCTGCATGATATACCTACCTACAGAATAATAATATTATATTATTATGTTGTTTAGAATGTTTACATAATAGACATTGTTGAGACGTTTTCGAATAATTATGTCTCAAAACGTAATAATATTATTGTGAACATGGACATAATATAATATATACATAAGTATAGGTACGGTGTTGATAATTATAACACAATTACCAATAAAATTTGCTGTGAAGATGTTATTAAATGGTCAATACGTCATATGGTAAATAGTTGATACCTACCCGTATTGGCCGTATTATACATAATAATAATCAAAATGTCACGGGAAAAAGAATATATTATTATATTTTACAACTTTATTCCATAGATTATGTTTCGTAGTTGAAAATCATCATTAAAATCTGAACGAGGTTGAGGTAGGTACATAATATAATATGTGAAAAAAACAATAGGCTCTAAACCTAACCTTCAAGGAAAAAAGGCAAATGTTCGATGGATTCAACGCCGACGTTCAACGATTTATACTTTTGTAACCTTGGTACCTTCGACTCGCTTGATAACAACACTCGTAATTGCTATTTGAATTGCGTAAGCCGAAATTGCATGAGAATCCCTCGAAAAACGCTCGAGTCATGTTATCGGCGTTAATTATCATTGATATTAGACGATTACATTATACAATAACATTGGGTACCTAATGACTAATATTAAAATAGTAATTTATTCTTGTTTACAGCGTTTGGGCGTTATCATCGGCTGATATCATAATCACCAATCATCGGTGGATTTCTATACGTGGGCTACGTTTTTGACAACTTCTACCATAATCAACAACTTACTACGACCTGCGTCCGATTGTCACTCGACTACTCGAGAGTCGAGAGTCCACCACTAAAAAGTATAGAGTTCGCTTTGTCCATGTCCGTCGCTGCAATAGTCGATCGTCGTCCTTAAACGATATTTGTCTCTCGTTCCTAGTTTTACTTGTTGTCTGTTTTCGATCGAATTGTCGTCGTGTTTCGCGTACGTCTCGATTCGACAGTAACGTCCGTTTTGTTTTTTTTGCCGTGACAACGGAGGTCCCAAAGTGCGAAACCAACGATGACCAGACAAATGTGCAACAAACTCCAAACGGCGGAGTACCACCGCAACCTCCTCCGTCACCACCACCACCGCCGCCGCCGCAACAATCGACACCGGAACCAAAACAATCTACAGACGAAAAACCCCTAGATCCGTCGATGAAGGCAGTAAGCGTCTTACTTGCATTTGTCGTCGACGATTATTCACAATGTGTGAAAACCCTCGACCTCATAGTTTGGCCTTTGTTAGAATTTTTCGATCGGAAATTTTTGTCCATCCGGTCGTTTGGCGTTTTTTAAAAAACGCCGTGTCACGTTCCGAAATATAACTTTTTTTTTTTTGTTGCCCCGCGTTATCGGTTCTCGTTGAACGGTGAGCGAAAAGTCAGCTGTCGCACTGTTGAATATAATAATATTATATATTCCCAACTTTGAACCGTCTTTGAATAATAATGTCTATTCCATTCGTTTCTCGGCCACTATATTTAATGAGTTAATATTTATTCGATTTCATGACGAATTTTGTGTTAAAACATTTTAATTTTTAACATTATACCAATCTCACATATGACATGGTACCTGTTGACTATTGTACCTACCTATTATGTTTATTTTGTGTTGTGTACGCACATTTTACTAATTCTACAGTTTAATGTCATTGGTTTAAAAATAGAACAACATAATATTATTTATTGTAGAGCTAACTAATAAAATGTGTGTATATTGTTTTATCTTGTACATCCCAGTAAAATGTTTGTTTTATTTTTTACTTTGTGATCAGCACATAGTATTGCATTAAATGTTTACCTAATGTAAATTGATAATTTGTACAATAATAATATTCATATTTTTTCAACTTTCAAATTGACATTTTATTTTATAGACAGTTATTATTGAATCCAGTACGTTTCTCCTACTGGAATAATTCCCTTCCAGAAAAAAAAATTTAAAGTATATACTTAAATACAAAACAATAGGTATATAAATGCAAATAAATATGTATACATTTTATTACATACATATACAATTAATAATTTTTTTTTATCATTATTAATATTTAAAATATAAAAATTATTATTTTTTTACTTTGGGTAAAACTAATATAGTATCTACATATTTTTGAATCTATTATTATGTATCTATGCACACTAGTCCCTAATAAAACAATTATAAATGTATAAAATAAATAATATATTACCTATATTATTAAAATTATGTGTCCTATTAATTTAGAAGGGAAATGATTGGGTGGAGGTACTTCCAGTACTACTAAAACATTTGGGGAGGAAACTTCTAAATATCGTTGCTGTTACTTGTATTAATGAATCGCAAGCTAATTTAAACCAACCTCTTAACTATTTCATAAACATAGGTATATCTAAACATACCTAGGAAAACTGTTCCTATGTTATCTTGTGCATGTTAAAACTAGGCACCTATATACATATAAGTGTTTATTTTCTACCTTGATTATTATGATGTAATAAAAATAAATTCCATGTTATGTTAGGTTATCCATAATAATTTTAATAGTAATTATTTTAGTCTTTTAAAATTGGTATTCTAAGGATCTATTTTTGTGTCTATCTTATTGCATGTATTTTTTTCCTTCAATTCATTGAGTAAAATAAGAAAAGCCGTTTTAAATTATTAATTTATTATAATTGCTTATTTTTAGGCAGCAATGAAAATGGAAAATATTTTATCCAATGCTAATACAATTTTTGGTTTGGACCATGTAACAAATATCATGAAATATCATAAAAACTACCTTGAGACATTTCTTAGTTTGCAAGAATTGATAATTTATGGAGAAAGTCCTTTGCCCATTCAATATCGGCATTACATCGCTATCATGGTAAATATATTTATCATTAAAAAATGTTTGCTAATAAAAATAATTTACGATATTTATACTGTGCTATGGCTCGTATTAACTTTGTATTTTAAATTTCAAATCCACTTATATTAACACTTATTTCAAGTATGTTTAAATATTATATTAACTATATTATTCAGAATATTGATTAATATATGATTATATATAAAAATTCTTATACTCTGTTCCATTAGAGAATATCAAGTTTTCTTTTGCATCGTGGCTGTGCCATTGCCAAACCCTAAATTTCTAAATCCGAAACCAGTATTGTCTAATAAACTGGTCGGTAAACTAGATATTATCCAGAATATTTTATTTTGGAACAGAGTATATCTACCAATCAAATATTGATTACGGTTAATGTTAAAAAGGTAACCAACAATTATATTAGGTACTTTTTTTTTTTTATATTATTACAGTGAACACTATACAATTTCCAGTTTTTCCTAAGATTTTCCCGGTTTTCCAAATGCACAGAAAATGTATCATTAATAATTTAAAAGCGACCTTCTTTTGCATCAATAAGACATAATTTATTTCAGAAAACATGTTACACTTGAAGTTTGGATTAAGTTTTCTTGTAGAAAAACGAAATTGAAAATAATGTTACTTTTGTTGCTGTAAATGTGTCCATTTTTCCTATGTTCCTCACTAGTTTTTCCCAAGTATTATGAAAACTACCAGGTAATTTCAAAAATGACTTCACTTGTATTTATTATTGTACACTGATTAAATCCTAAAAAAACTGCCTTTTTGTTTTTTGATTGGAACAAAATTTCTGGTAGAAGAGTGAAGGAAAACTGTTCACAGACAAAACAAAAACACACATAGTTAAACTAATACATTCCTTGCTATGCACAGAATCTAACATTCACTTATTTATTTTTTAAATTATATTTGTTTAGGCTGCGGGGCGTCATAAATGTACGTATCTTATTAATTTTCACAAGAAGCAATTTTTGGAACACGATGGCGACCCTACTTGGTTAAAGGGTCTTAATCATGCACCACGAAAACTTCGTATGCTATATGAGCTTAATAAAATATTAGCTCATCGACCATGGCTTATAACCAAAGAAGATATCAAAGTATGTATTTAAGTTAATTAAATATAATAGAATACATGTATACTACATTACATATACTACATTACATATACTACATTATTGAGATTTAAATTTACCTTAAAAAACAATGATTTTATTAATATTCCATTATAATTCTAGTTGTTATAGTTACTACACTAGTTATTTATTTTTTTAATTTTAACATAACACATTGACTGCGTACGACGCCATTTTGCGTCTAATATACATTTTATGTAAATTGTTTAGTATTCCTTTCACGTTACCAAATGATATTTGATTATTAGTTTATGCGGTTAAAAGAGTATTTTAAAATGTGTTGGGTTGTATGACCAAAATAGAGCATTTATTTATGTTACTTTTTAAAAGACTTTCTTTTTATCTCTGTTATTTAATAGTATTTCATCTGTTTTCAGATTATTATTTTACATTTGTTTGTTATCAGTGGTGTGTAAACCCGCTTTACTAGTCAATTATTAATTATTTCCCAATGTACAACATGACAAAAGGTTTAAATTTGTTTTTTCAGTGTGGTGGGCATATAGTTATTTTGTTACTTTTTCTCCGTGTTTGAACCAACATCAGTGAGGAATCTATTTTCACAATATTTCCACACAAATATATTGTTACTTGTCATGGATAGATATTAGAATGCTCCTCAAAATCTAAAAAGGTGTTTATCTGTAAATTTCTCAATCAACATGAAATTTAGAGACTAAACAGATTCAATAATGCCAATTAATGTCATGAAAAGTTCATAAGTTTGAAAATTGAAAAAAATGTTTTCATGTATTATAAAACTTTCTTAGTACCACAATTAAATTTGAAGAAAAAAGTTACATTCACATTGGATTGAGAACTGCATAATGTCTGTATTAAACGTGCTAATGTTTATGTAATATATTATGTGATATAGGTGAATAATTGTTGACTGTTTAAAATATGTAGTATATACAGTATAATATATTATTACCTACTTATTTACGCATAATGACATAATCAATCCATAATTGCTTATCATTAGATCATTCTTAATGTCAATTTTAAAATTTACTTATTGGCTTATTTTTATCCATAATAAATTATAATTTAAGTGTATTGGTTATAATAATGGTTTCCTATAACCAATTTAGTACATTATGATTTCTTTTAATGGTTAAAGAATATTAGTAATATGTTCATTTAGTATTTACATTTCTTGATTATCTAAGATGAGAGAAAAAAATGTATGCCCAATACTATCATTTTAATTTTAATTAAATCATTTTTAGAATTATTTTAATATTTTCCATATTATAAATATTTTTTCTAGTTAAGTACATTTAATAAAAGCGATTAATTTGTTTGCGAAAAACTATTTTTACTTCTTGGTTTTCTTAGAAATATTAGTTTTATTTTATTTTCAATAATAATAATTTCAACAATTTTAAATACTGTTATTGATGTTTATTAACTCTCATATTATGTTCAGTGTTCTATAAACAAAGTTTAAATATTTTTAAATATTTTAAATGTTAGTTCAAATTTCTATATCTTTCACTATGGTTTTTTGTTTTTTTTTGTTTTTGGGTAAGCTTTCAAGTGTAGAACTTTTTCTGAGAGAAAATATATATAAATAAATACTATTGTATTTATTTAGTTTATAGGATTAAAAATTGAAATTTAGGTATACTATGTCTTATTTTAGAACAAAAGTTCCTTTTTTTCATAAAGTTTTCAACATTAAAAAAATATAATTTATTTTTACTTTATCACTATTATTGTGTATATAATAGTGCTTATAAAGTAATTTTATTTTTTACCTCAATTATATATGAAGATTTTTTTAAACTTTGATAAAGAGTAGCTTATATAATTTAAAATAAATAAAATTTAAATTGTTTTGTTTTTTTAATGTTAATTTTATTGTATTAAAATCTAGAATATGATAAATAATTTGTTTTATCATTTTATACATTAAAAATTTACTTTAGTTTTCAAGATATAGGTTAAAAAAAAATTGGTTTAAAGAATTTAAATAAATGATTTAAAATTGTCCATAAGATTTTCCTATACGACAACTAATTGTAAAAATTCTCGTACTACTAATAATAGGTAAATTGTTTTGTTTTTTCTATTACAAACTATTATAATGTGATAATCTTTGCTTTATATTATTCTGTTGCATTCAGAAAATATAAGCTAGGTAATGATAAACTATACAATTGACACCATTTTCTTTGTATTATACATTGTACCTGTACAGAAATAGTTTAATAAAAAGAAGTATATACATATAAATCATAATTTATCTCTTTAAGAATATGAAGAACATTGTTTTATGTAATTAAAAAACTGGTGATGTTAATATTTAAATTCAGTGAATTTAAGTTTAAGATTAATCTATTGAGGCTAATTATTATTTAATACCTACTTATGTTATAGAGCTTTAAATTATTATAATAAAAGAAATGGTAAATAATAGTTATATACGGTAATATAAATTTTTTGATTTGATACATTTTACTAATTTTAGTATAGGTTTACTTTATTGTTCACCTTTTTTTTTTCAATTTTTTTTTTATTTTTTTTTTTTTTGCTGATTGGAAATCATTATTTAAGAATTTTTAGATATATGAGGTTTATGGCTTTGCAAGTCGCAAATTTAGATGGCTGGAGGCCAGGTCTTACATAGGAGGTTTAAGTTTACCTGTAGGACACTATCCTTCTTGCAATATTATCAGGTTGAAAATGTAGGTTAGGTGAAGTCATCTCAAGCCAACCCCCTCCCCCCGCTGTGGTTTTTATTCTTTAATTAATCAAAATTATTATTTACTATTTTAAAATTAAAGGTATTTATATATTATCACCACACCAATACTCAATAATAAATGTATCACAGTAATCCAGTAATAAGATAAAATTGTACTATATATTTAATATTATTAGGTTAAGGTTAGGTTATATAACATTTATATGATGTCAATTATTATTTTGTTGTGACAAAGCAATACATTTATAATATTCGTATTAATATAAAATATCAATAAATTATAGTGTGGAGACAAATTATTATCATAGTTTTTAATAAAAGTTTAGAATTATTAGTGGATAAATTTATGAAAACAAATAGCACTTATGTTTAAAAGAATTTTATCCGGTTAGAGTTATAATTAACACATTTAGTTATAAAATAATATATGTTTGCTAATTTAATATTAAATTATGAAATCAATAATATTAGTAGGTACTATAATTAAATCAAATATTTACATTACCAGTAGTTACAAATAAAAACTTATATAGCTTTATATATTTTTTTAATAGAAAGTCGTCAAAGGTCCAAACTCTTGGTTAATGTCAGATTTGCCACATGCCATTGTATTACTTGTTCATTTTCACAGTCTGTGTAGCTTTATTTTTGCGTGTGACTTAAATGATGAAATACCACGTGCCCTTAAAGTGGCTGGTGTTTATTGTAGTAGGCGTAGAAGTAAAACATTTGGAGGTATGTTTGTATCAAAATTAATTTCACGAATTGTTAATTATTTAATGATAGTTAATTAATAAATGTATGAACTAGTTATTTTAATATTTAATAGTCTTAGGTATATTTAAAAGCAAATAAATAATATTGTAGGTAAATTATGTTCTACTGATGAAAATGTTCTATCTGATGATGGAGGTCTTGCATCATTAATGGAAAAAATGAAAAAACTTAATGATGTATTGCCAGCTTCAGAACAAGAACGTATACAACGATATGAGCTTGTTCAGAGTCAGTTGTGTGACAGCGATACTTCTGCTGATAGTGATTTAGATCCAGATGTAAGACCATTTGTTGAAGATTCTGGATATTCCTACTTAGACTGCTCACGTCGACAATTTGCTCAACAATCTTCATTTATTTTGCAGGTAATTTTATTTTAATTAGATAATTCTATTAATAATAATAAGTATTTTGCTCTTTTTGGGTTATTATGCAATTACTGATTTTTTTTTTTAATTCAAGTACAAATAAGGAAAGAAAGATATCATATACATAAAATGTATTAAAAAATTATAAACAAATTACTAATAATTATGTAATTATTACAATTCGTAAAAAATTGTTTACATTTTGTTGTAATTTTTCAATTTGTGTTGAACAAATAATGACATAGGTACAACCAAATATATCATATTATGTATAATGAATATTATTTAATACATATAATATTTGTTTTTATTTTTACACTGTTTTAGGAATTTTCTTGGGACCATCATGGTTACTCATTGATTACAAACTTTATTAATGAAATTGGATTATTATTGGATAAAAAATTTAAGACGGCTTATAACATGACATATAATACGATGGGTGGCTGCTCTGATATAGATACTACACGATTCCGCAGAGCTATTTGGAATTATATTTATTGTATTTATGGAATACGGAACGATGGTTATGATTATGAAGAAGTTACACAATTGCTTCAAAGTCAATTAAGAGTTTTCATCAAGACTGCTACTTGTTACCCCGAACGTTTGAACAAAACACATATTGAAAATGCACTAAAGCATTTTGAATTAAGCGAAAAGGTTAATATCTAACTTATTTAATTTCTTTAAAACATTAAAAAAAAAAATTGCTTATGTATTTATATTTGTAATTGTATATTTATTTTTCAGATACATATTAATTTAATGATTATGGAAGCTCGAATGCAATCAGAACTATTATTTGCATTACATGCTATCATGAACTACTTGTTATAATATGGTATAAACTATTTATATATTTTTATAACACATCATGTATAAATTTTTTTATTATTATATTTCAATAATATGTATACATTATTGATTATACGATTTATATTCTCATAAACAGTATAATTTGTTTTCCTTTGCTTGACGTTTTTGTATTAGCTAAACATAACATTTTTATTTTTATTTGTGTATTTAAATTTTTTAATTCAGAACCTTTTTAAAAATTGTCTACATATAATTGTCTTAATATGATCATTGTTTTTACAAATTTATATTTTATATTAACTGAATATTTTATAGATATATCTAAATGTGATACTACAATATTTTATACAGGTAAACATTAAACTTCTTTTAGTTATACAAATAATTACTTTATTATTGTTTTACAACTATTCATGAATTGTTTTTGTTTTTATTATTATTTATTTTATTTTTTGATCGAGTACAAATTCTAGAAATATTAATCAAACTAATTGTGATACAATTTAATAATCATGTATACAGTTCAGAACAAAAATAAAGATAGAAACATTGACCTATATTCATTGGTTTCTTGATAACAACCATAGCGTGTTTATTTTGAATAATTTAAAATATAAATGTAATGATAGTAAATTTAAAATTATTAGTTGTTGATTCGGATGCATGTATTTTAATAGTTATTTCAAATAATGTTCATAAAGTTAATATTACCGACTAATATATATTAGTCTGATTTTACACCAAATTAAGTATATGTCATAATTTATATTTATCAAATAAAATTATTTTTTGAATTGAAATTAATATGTGTACATTTTTTAAAAATATAACTTCAAAGAACTAAAGAATATTCCAGTTCATCACAGGTTCCACTAAACAGAATTAAATTTTGTAACTATTAAAATTGAAATTTAATAAAGTATCTCTTGTCTGACCCCAGGGAGGGGTCAGAGTAGCTCATTGGAATAATATTAGGTTTTTAGTTTAATAATAATTAAAATACTTTGTATGAAATAAAACTTGCAAATTATCTTTTTAATATTGCCAAACTGGCATTTAATTTTATAAATAAATAAAACTAATAATCTTTATATTTAATAATGAATAACTCCTTCAATTATTAGTTAACAAATATAACAAATTATTTGTATTTTTACAGTAAATTATTGTAGTTAGGTAACAAAGATATAAAATTTAAAAACTAAAATTTCAAGTAGTCTATATTAAATTATATATTTATTATATTAAAATAGTTAACTATAAGAAGCACAATTATTTTTATTTGACAGACAAACAATTCAGTACTTTTATATCGTTAAGATATCATAACCAGTTTCGGTTATCAGTATGGTGTGTTCAAATTGAGCACCTCTAGAATTGTCTGCCGTTGCTATGGTCCACCCATCAGGTAACATTTCTATTTCATTAGTTCCTTGACAAATTACCGGCTCTACTGTAAACACCATACCTGGTTCCATTATTCCAAGATAATTATGTAAAGTAGAATGAAAAATAACAGGGGGGCCATGAAAATACGTGCTGATCCCATGTCCAGTAATACTCGGAACTACATTATGATTGGATTTCAAGGCAAATGACTCTATTGCTCTTCCAATGTCAGGGAAACTTTTTCCGGGCCCGCATGCTTTGATACCTTTGTACATACATTCTTCGGCGATACTCATCAAATTTTTACCGTATTCGTCCACTTGTCCGACACAATATGTGGCAGCACAATCACCATGGTAACCGTTCAAATAGACGGATACGTCCACGGATACGAGATCACCGTCCTGTAATGGGCGGTCGTCTGGCACTCCGTGACATATAACGTTATTAACTGAAGTACACACGGACTTTTTAAATCCATTGTAATTTAGTGGAGACGGGTACGCATTATTGTTGATAATCAAATCATGCACAAAACAATCAATCTCGTCAGTGGTAATGCCGACTCTCAACTGACCAGCAGCGCTATTCAACACGAACTTGGCTAACTTACAGCTCTGTCGTAGCATTTCTATTTGCCCTTCAGTGTGGATTTCTGGATCAGAGTATTGATCGGGCTCGTCATCGACGATTCCAGTCTTTGCATAGGACGGTAACGTAACATATTCCGGCACCGTTCTAGGCTCGCTAACGTATCCCAAATCCACTATATCGTACACGCCGAAATTCGGTTTGAATTTATTCCACGACCATAGCGATCTGTGGATTAGGGGTCCATGATTGGCTAAAAGCCGTTTAAGGACTGTGGTTTTACAAAAAAACATTGTCTTTTATAAACGACTTTGGAGTAGGTAGGTTCCTTATAAGTTAAAATTGTATCGTGATGAATAATAGGTAGAATTCCAATAGACTTTCGAGGAATTCCAAATAAATTTAAAAAACTAACGATCAACGTTAAAAACAACCATGCAACTGTAAAAAAAAATATACATACGAAACATATTATTCTTAACCACGGTAAATTCTACAGTCCATAACATACAAGTGGCAACTGACAAAACGGGAAGGGAACCAAGTAAGTGACTGAGAAGCTCCGAGCTCGTCTGCTCGTTACAGTCATGATAAAATTGTCAAAATGTTCATGAAATGGATGCGCTTTTCGGATGCCGAATTGTTGTACGAAAATGATAAGACATTTTTATCACTAACCGTTTACGTATACACCAACATAACAGTATAAAATATCTCAATTATTAGTATATGTTAGAGAATATAGTTATGAGTATATTGTATTCATGTACGGATTATGCTATTAAAGTAATTTGTTTTACTATTAGTGATACAGTTGTAGGTTGAATTAATTTTTGCCGACAACGTTTTCACATAGCTGTGTTTAACAGTAATTATAAGCAAAAGCTATAATACTAGAATATTTTCCCTATAAAAAGAATAAAAAGATCTTTTACAAAGAAACAAAAAAATTACTATAGTTACAACTAGTTAAAATATTTGTTAAAATGATTGTAAAAATTAAATTTACAATAATGTAGCTATAATATATGACAAAATGTATTAATACCCCCATGTCGGCAAAATGATATATTTTATAATTAATTTAAAGATTTAGTATACAAATTGATGTTATCTAAATCATTTGAAATGTGTGATCACTAATTTACCCACCCCACAATAAACTTAGCTTCAAGAGGTAAATACGTTTTCACTTATTTAAATGTAATATTTTAATTTGTATCATTATGTATGGATAGCTCAGATTAAATAAAGTTTTAAGTTTATAAGGTTTTATTATAACTTATAAGATATATTATATTACATAATGATTATATAAATGATAAAATCAGTGCAACACATATTTAAAATGTTATACAGTTAAAAGTTATTTCATTGATATATGTAAGCAACGATAAACCATTGCTTGACGAAAGACGATTTTGAACGCAGTTCGGTAATATATAATTTAAAGTGCCAACATTTTTTTGCGATTTTCGTTTAAATTTGATTTAAAAACGTTTATTAAAAAAAAAAAGTCGTCCGATAATTTTGGAAATTTTACCACGTCTAAGTAAGTCCAATATAAGTATTATTACCAAATTTAAAGTCTCTACGTGTATTTATAACCGAATTACAGCAAAAAATTCCCAAAAATTAAAATTCCTTAAAAGTTTTAGCGATGATACTGTAAGAAAGTAAATCAATAAGACAACAAAAAAGGTGTCGTGATTTATCGATTAAATCATTTTTTCTAATAGAAAACGCCGTCCGTATTTTTATAAAGTAATGGAATCATGAAATTGTATGTTTTCCTAGGTTTTTTCCTATTTAAGTGCATTTATTTAAAAAATGGCGTCGAAAGTTAAACTACTTAATAAAAAATAGAAAACCACTTGTTAAAAGTACAATTTAGTCAATTTGTGCTTGCAGGAAAGATATTGCACCTATACATTGGAGCAAGTTTACTAGGAAAAAACGTGTCCACAGACTTGAAAAAAGAAAAAAATATAAACAACTTAGTAAAACCAATAACTCCCTCATTACCATAGACACATATAAATGGACTGCCCTTATCCTATCCTAGTAGTGTATTTTGTTGAAGCAAAGATAGGTTTGAGAGAAACAGACATATGTTAGAATTTCCTAAGACGTTACAACCAAATGCTTATTAATTATATTTTATTCACCTTGGATATTCGTATAATTTTAAAATGATAACGGCTAAAAAAGAGTGATAACATTTACAAATTCTTTTCAATGATTATTGATTACTGAATAGTATGATATTATGATGTATTTTTATTTTTTCATAACTGTATGATTTTGTAATATTTAAAAAAAAAAAACTACTATATTAGTAATTTTACATTTTTACGCATATATTCTACGAATGTTTTTTTATTTGATCAGTCGGATATTTTACTAGGTATGTTGGATATTTTAAAATAAAATATCATCTTTGTGCTTTAATGGGAGTTTATACAATAAAATATTGGTCGATCAATACATTAACCCAAACAGTAAGTACCAACAGAAAATAAGGGAGATATTATTGTTTTTATATTATAATATATCGTTCACGTAATAAAAAAAAAATTAAACATCGATTTAAAAAAATACGTCCTAGGATAATGAAAATGGGAGAATTCACTGTTATAACTAGTTTAATGTTTATCTGTAAACAACGATAAATCATCGCTAACGAAAAAACGATTTTGAGCGCAGTTCAGTTGATAGTGATGCTTTGTCAACAATATATATGTCATATTATGGTAAAATAGGTACCTATTTAAGTAGACATGTATTTTCTTAAGATTTTCCATGTATTTGTTTAATATTGCACCGTTTTTCCCAGTTTTCCAATGTTTTTCTCCCTGTTTTTCATGTTTGCTGGAAAAACTCTTGGAAAAATCAAAAAATTACCTCTTAAAATATATTCCCAGTCAGATTAGCTTTTTAAAAAAAATGTTATCATTGTAAATCGGAGCAAAATTGCTGGTAGAAAAGTTGTTGACAGAAAAAAAAAAATCGTAATATTTTTTTTACTAATACCTACATTTCGTATATTTTCCATTTTTCCGACATTTATTTCCGGTTTTTCCCAGATATTATAAAAGCCGCTTAAAAAAATCAATAAATGATCTCCCTAAATTACCACGGAGATAAAATTATCTTTCAGAAAATAAGCTACACTTAGATACATCGGCAAGATTTCTGACTGAAAAATTTGCACAACAAATCGAGCGGTATTTTGCGATTAAAATAGTCCGAGGGAGAGATGGCTTGGGTTTCTAGGTACATCCAAAATGCATTTGTTTTTTTCTTGTTTAGATAAAAGGGGAAAAAATGTAAACAATTTTGTTCAACACTGTGGTATGAACTCGGAAGTCCTAGGATAATAATAGGCATAATTAACTACCAGATCATGACAACTATGCTTTAAAATGGACAATATAAAGTTATTTAACATAACATATAATATCAGAATTTCAAAAAGTTGTAAACTTTTTTTTTCTAATTTTAAATTGATTGGTGTATTATTGTAGTCAACATAATGTAAAACGTTTTGGTAAAAATCCGAAGTTAAAAATATGATTGTTCATCGAGGTAATGAGAGTTGATGAATAGCCGCGTGACATAGAGTTGACGATTGAACAGCCGCCTATGTTTTACGTGTAAAAGTAGTTTGATTTACACAATGATTTTAATAACTTAAAATAGCATTTCCGAATTTTTTTTTTTATAATCCTAAATATATTTATGTGTTTAAGACGATGGTGTGATTAAAAATTTAATATATCTTGTTGTTGCATACATATTATAAATTATAATTTAGTAAAATTATTGAGTTCGCCACTCCGCGTCGTATTGCCGCGCGGTACATCGCAATGGCACAAACCAAATTTTACGAAATTGTCTATAGTAGTTTTATCTACTATTTAAAAACTAGGAAGGATATCTAAATTATAATCACATCTGTTTTATAAATACAAAAAAAGCAGTTTTCCCATTTATTGGGAAAACTACTGATCAAATCAAAAATTGTCCCCTTTAGAGCATCTCTCCAGTCAGATTTCCTTTTAGAAAAAGTTCCTACTATAATTGAAAATTGGAGCAAAATTTCTGGTAGAAAAGTTGTTCACAGATAAATAGAAAATAAATAAACATCTTTATAAAACCAATACATTTTTTGCTCCACTCAAAATCTAAAAAAAGAGCTGATACTTGAGGACGGGTCTGCCACTGTTGTGAGTGGGAAGTTTCGAAGGTGGATATATGGTGGTAATTAAATGTATACCTGTAAGCAACGATAAACCATTGCCTACGTAAAAACGATTCTGAGCGGAGTTCGGTTGATAGTAATACTTTATTAAAAATATACATATCATATTACAGAGGTGGCCAAAAGTCGCGCAACGCCTTGTATGGAACGCGTTTCTCCATCCACGTCGTTTCCGTTACGTGATATTGCAACTTTGGTCTCGTTATCTTGTTTACGTACAACAGCAAGGTTTATAAAAAAACATCATAACCTATCAGTTTCATATTCGTTATCGTTCGTAACACTGCCGAAATGCAAATTTGTTGCGTGACTTTTGGCCACCTCTGTATAGTAAAATAATTAAAAGGCTTTAACTATTTTCTTTTATAATATTTGTTAAATGCTGTACCGATTTTCCCGATTTTTCATATTTTCTAGTAAAAGTCCTGAAAAAATCGAAAAATGACGCCTCTCAAGTACCTTCCCAGTCGGATTTCCTTTTAGAAACATTGCTATCATTATAAATTGGAGCGAAATTGCTGATAGAAAAGTTGTCATCAGAAAAAATAAATAAATAAATGAATATCTTTGTGAAACCATAAGCTTCTTTGCTCCATTCAGAATGTAAAATATTAAAATTTTAAGTATTATAGGTCTTGTGAATAGCTATAATATGCCGACTGTAAATAATAGTTACCGACATTAGAGAGGTGTCATACTTCTCCAAAGGCCCAACCCCCCCCCCTTAGGATCGCCCCTGACACTCATTATCTCGGAAAGTGTAAACTTTTCAGGAATTTGTTTTGTATAAAATTTAAAAAACAGGCAGCTCTAAAATTTTATATTTATGTTATTTTTTGTCACTCTTATTTGTGGGGGAAAACCATTACCTAATTTTGTTTTTTAAATGGCAACCTATAATAAAAATTCCATAAATAGAACGATTATTAGTTAAAATAAACTTTAATGTTTACATATTTGATGTGGTTTTACCCCCAAAAATAAGGGTAACAAAAAAATAACATAAATATAAAATTGTAGAGCTGCTTGTTTTTTAAATTTTCTAGAATACAAATTTTGAAAAAAGTTAATACTTTCCGAGATAATGAGTGTACCTACTTAGATGGATCACGGTATTGTATAAGAAGTAGGGTGTTGGTGTAACGTAACATCGAACAAATCTAGTTTATGACCCAAGCTCGTTTTCAATTTTTTTTTTTCAAAATGTGTATTCTTACCTGTACATAAAAAATATATATAAAAAAAAAAAAGGAAGACGAATTTCGTTTGGAAGTTTTGGGGGATAATATCATGAAGTTCGGGTTTTACGTTTCCCGGATTTCTTAGTGAGAATTAAACATTTTTAATTTCTTTTTTTTCTCAAAATGTGTGATTTTTAGCTTTATCAAAATTTACCTGTCATACTTACTTTTGAAGTTATTGTATGTAAGCCTTGAAAATTAGCACTTTGGATGCACCTAGAGACTTGGCGGGATCACTCGATCGCAACGCTGGCTTGAACTGTTTTAATCGAAAATAACTCTCGATTTGTTTTGTAAAACCACGTTGTGTAGTTTTTAGGGAAAAGTGAAAAAGCATTTATTACGAATGTGTACAAATAGAATAACAATTTTTGGTGCAAAATTTTTATCGAAATTCCAAGTTAGGAGTTCTAATGTAACGGACTTTACTTAGCTCCACTTAAAATTGTTTTTTGACTGTATTAAGGCGGTTATAAATGTATAAAATTAAAGTATAACCGTCTTGGATATTATCTATAATACTACCAAAAATCATTATAAAAATAAATAATTAAAATTGATTATCTTTCATGAATACATAATAATACCATAACATTTTTATTCAAAATTATAGTTCGCCGCTGATATCATGTTATCTACGTTATGTGCACGATAGCGAAATGTGTGCGCTTTATTTCTGTATTTAAATACTCCTCTTTTTTAACAGTCGGCTATAATATTTTCGAATGAAATATTTTTCGACTGATTTATTTCGGCTTTTTTACGCGTTCCTAAACATCACCAGTTGTTGCCGTTGACCATTGTTGCCAAGCCGGGAATGTAAAACGTAACAATCTGTCAGCAGCAGCTGCTACTGCTATTGATACGACGTGTCGTACATCAACTGATAAGACGTAAGTAATAAAAACTTGATAGGTAAACAGGTAATTGTAAATTAAATTATTCAAACAATCGCTTAATCTTTTAGTTTTACTATATTATAATAAAGTAGATTTTATATCGTCTCAATATATTATTAGTTAGTTATTTTTGTTCAATCTGTAATAAGTGCGTATTAGTTATTTTATATTATACAAATTTGAAATGGCTGATGATCAAGGTGTAGCAGCATTGCCAGACACCGTAGAAGTTCTAAGAGCATTTAATGGTTCAGTAGTTTATCTTGTTGGTACAGCTCATTTTAGTGATGCAAGCCAAGAAGATGTCGCTAAAGTATATAAAAATACACCCAAAAACACAATAGATATTATTTTTATAATTTATATTAACTAGGTAATAAATGCAGTACAGCCAGATTGTGTTGTATTAGAATTATGTAAAGGCAGACAAACCATGTTAACAATTGATGAATCCACTATTGCTAATATGCCAGCTATTACATTAAGTAGGTACTAATATTATTCTAATAACTCACTTAGAGTTTACTAATTTTTAAATTAAATACCTATAGGTTTTTGTCTACATTTTTTTGTTATGATAATTATATTACAGTATTTTAATATTAATTTAAGATATATTTAAATAATCAAGTATACACAGTAAATATAAGCATATTTATATTTATCTACTTGTAAATAACTTTTCTACAAGAAATCTTGACCCAATTAAAAAATGACCTTTTTTGTTGTATTTTAAATCTAGTTGATGCATTGAGGAGATATTGTTTTGTTTATTTCATTATTGGCATAATTCTAGTTAAGTAACCTATAGATTTTTTTTTCTTTCTTAAAATGTATGTTTTTAAGCGCACTATTTCAATTAAAAAAAATATTTTGTACTGGGAATAGGCGTGCCACTGTTGTAGGTGGGAAGTTGGCTAACTGGGAAAAGTTATTTTATTTCTATCTGTATGAAACGATAAACTACTGCTAAGGAAAATATATTCTGAAGGAAATCTGATACATGTTTTGCCATGCTGTGTAATGTTTAAGATTTTTACCAAAATTAGACTTAAAATACAGATAAAAAAAATAAAATAAAAAAAACTACTACAATTAACATTTATTTTTTATCATTAACTACAACTAATAAAAAAATCTTATATTAAATTTTCAATCTTTTATTTTATTCAAAAAAATTTTTGTTCATATAGTACCAAATAAAAACTCGAAAATGTCTAATACTTATAAATATCTCAAAAATTAAAATAATGTTTTTACCATATCTAGAAAAGGCTAATATACTTATATCAGGCTTTTCTATTCTGTGAAAATATCAGGTCTCTACACTTGCTTTTAACTAAATGAAAACAAAATAGAAAATAATAGAGCTATTAATGTCCTAAACTTTCCCATTTTTCTATGTTTTTAGCTTGTTTTAAGAAAAATATTAGAAAATTACAAACTGACATTTTTACTCACCAACTAGACAAAATTGTATTTTAGAAATTATTCCACTTTTAAAATTTGGGAGTAAAATTTCTGATTGACAACAAAAATCATAACAATTTAAAATTATGAAATCTTAATGCCACATTATCGTAAATATTTAACTGTTTTTCCAATTAGTATGAAAACTGCTTGAAAACTCAAAAATTTACCTCTCTAGTATACCAACTAGATCCAAAATACAAAAAAAGGCTTCATGTCATTTTTTAATTGAAGCAAGATTTCTGGTAGAAAAGTTGTTCACGGACAGAAAAAAATCAACCTTACATAATTATCATTATAAAACTAAACCACTCCTTATTTCATTTAGAAACTATAAAGCGATTATTCGCTAGGATACTTCCTTCCCACTTAATTTGATGATCAACGTTGTTATACATAGCGAGTTCATTGTCCCTCGCACTTGCACATCTGTACATTTTTTGAACAGTTTGCACTAATCGATACTGAAACACATGGATTAATTGCAATAGTATGCATTTTATAATCATGTACTGATGATTAAATTTAAAAACAGAAATATTAAAAATTCCAGTTCTCGGTTATATTTAAAATACATATGGGATAAATTCCATAGAAACATTTTGAAAATATTTTATTCTAAGCTTTAATTTTTTTTTTAGATATTTAGTGTACATACGTCAACAAATATTTTGAAATTCAAAAATATTGATAGTTTGTTAAACTAGAATTGTTTCAAAAAGAAAAGATTTGAATATTTAAAAAATACATCTTTTCGTTTTTTTTAAAAAAAAATGTATTTGGATTGTATAATTGTAGCCAACCTTACATCCTTATTAATGTTTGAATTATTATTTATAAACCAGAGCCTACCATAATTTACCGAAGTATTATAGACCTAATTGGTTAATTAAATTATTTATAATAATTAGTATCCAAATGTGCTAAATATAAAGTACATTTATTTATAAGTATGATCAATTAAAATGTATCCTTACTTCTACTAACTTAGTAAATTGTATCATATCCAACAATAATATTAGTTTAACAAATAGTTTTAACGTTAATTATTTTGTTTTATACATATTATTAGTTTTAATATTTAAATCAATACTATAGTTATATTAAGAATTCTATTCCTATTTAGTTATAATGGCAGTAAGAGATCCTAAATACTTATTGCTATTCAGCATAAAGGCTCTTCACATCTAAAAGTAGTAGAGTGGATTCCGCCTAATATGGGCATTGGTTAATATGGGCAAAATAGTCTGGTCCCAATATAAATGTATATTAACAAGATTAAAAAATAAATTGCATAATATGGACTCACTTCGATTTACACGGGCAATTTTTATTTTATCATAGCACTAGAATGTATTTAAAAACGACTGATATAATCGGGTTTCGTCGTATCTACAAGATTATATTTTAAATTTAAATTATTATAATAAAAAGTATTAATATTTAAATCTTAATGGGATTTTGTTGATTAAATGTATAGACTTGCGTGTGAGTTCATGAAAGAAGGCAATGGAAATAGTCCGTCTGATAAGCGTTTGATAAGCCCACTTTTTGTTAACCAGACACACTAAACAACTTAGACAATAACCAATTACAACGTTTTGTGTACCTTCCACATTCAAATAGTAATTTTATTTAGTATGTTAAATTTAGTTTTACAGTGATTTAACATTTTTTTCAATTTCATAGTCCTTATGTGTAAAATAAAAACTTTTTTGATATTACAAATTTGTGTTTTTGAATTCATTTCGGTTTTTATGGGCAGCCGCTTAATGTGGGCAAACAGGGCTGGTCTAAACGTGCCCACATCAAACAGAATCCACTGTACTTATTTACATGTATTCAGTTGCTTTATCTTCACTATTATTTATTTCTATTATGTTTAGGTCTTCTTGTATATTAAAATTAATGTATCTTTATTTAGTCTAAATTGGCTTCCACGCTCTTAGATTGTTTACGACTAATTTAGGTATTTACATTGAGTTAGTGTTCCTTTCAGCATCATTGAATTAATACTCTTATTAGAGTATTAAATCTATGTTCTATAATAACTCAACTTAAACTAATTTACTATTTGATTTGTATAGGTGGTCTAAAAGGATATATAAAAAAATTGGGCTTTGTCCAAGGTATTTTTTATCAGCTTATGATAAGTATATCATCAAGTATATCTCGTGATCTTGGTATGTTACCTGGTGGAGAATTTCGTAGAGCTGTCATTGAAGTATTGATAATTAATCATTTAAATTTTTTTTTTTATATATATGTATTAATCTTTTTTTTATTTTATTTTTAATTGCTGTAGGCTAAAAAATATGATTGTATCATTTCTCTAGGAGATAGACCAGTTGATGTAACCATAAAAAGAGTAATATCCATGTTAAGCTGGGTAAAATGTATTAAACTTATGATAAACTTGTTGACTACTCCAGATATTAAAATTACGTAAGTAGTAGCTAATTTTTATGATAATAATATATAATTTATATAGTAATAATTTAAATATTTGTTCACCAATTAGAAAAGAAGATGTGGAAAAATTCAAGGACACAGATTTACTGGCAGCTCTAATGATTGAAATGGCTGCTGACTATCCAGAATTAAGGGAAGTAATAGTTGATGAAAGAGATAAATATTTAACATATAACCTACAAAAGAGTGCTGGATTTGTTATTGAATCAAATGGTGATTTAACTAATTTAACTCCAAACTTTGGTAAATATTAATAATTGATTTATTTATTAAGTAATGTTTATAATTAACTAAGTAATAATGAAATCGATCAATTATTTTTTGAAAATAATTTTAATTAGGTCCTCAAGTAGTTGTTGGAATAGTTGGTTTAGGTCACATAGCTGGTATTAAGAATTATTGGCAAACAATTTCTAAAAATGACGTCCTCGAAATAGCTAAGTAAGTTATTATTTGATTTTATTGAATATCCTTAAAATATATATATTGGCTTTTTAAATTTAAAAAATTCACATAAACTAATATAAATTTAAGTGTAAAACTGTTAGATTTCTTGGGCCAAGGAAGTAGTATACATTTCCATTTCAATATTTTACCAGTTTATTAAATATGTAAAGAACATTAACTACACCGATAATAAATTTACACAAAATTTAAAAAAAAATAATTGATATTGGGGACGGGTGTGCCACTATTATGTATGAGAAGTTAAGAAGGTAGGATACATAAAGGTATTTAATTTTTATTTTTAAATAAAGGTAAACCATTTTTTATGAAAAATAATTTGGTGCGTAGTTCAGTTATATATGTTTTTAAAGGTACTTAAGTTTCTTTAAGTTTCTAAAGGTTCTCAATATTAACTATTTTCATCAAAATTTGATATTAAAACTCTCGTATACAAAAATACAAAAATACAACTCAATTTTTTTCCCCTACAAATTGAATTTTCTAATGAACCTTCTATTAAATTTTCAATCATTTCTGTTAAGTTTAATAAAAAAAATTACGTTAAAAAATAAAATAAAAATGTCTTTTTAAATAGCTTAAAAATTGCTTGTATGTTTTTAAAATATAAGTATTTTGTCAAAATATTAATTTCATATATTTTCAATTGAAATACACACAAAAAAAAAAATTAAATAATAAAAGTATTATTTTTGGTAGAAAACATAAAGTGTACAAATTGAAAAAAAATGAAATCAGTAATATTGTGGTACACCTTCAATCACACCAATCACAATGACCTCCTCATTGCATCAACTAGATAACATTTCTTTTAAGAAAAGGTGCTACACATGATACATCAGAGAAAGAGTTTTAGTTGAAAAATTACTTACACACTAAAATACAAAATAAAACCACACATAGAAATATTAATAAAATCTTTGCCACACCTTGAACTTAAATGATTCATTCACAGGTATATGTTTATTAGATTTACTACCATAATTGTATGTTGTTTTTTTTTAGAATTCCACCTCAATCAAGAAGTAGCAAAATTATTAAAATTGTCATTAAGGTTTCTTCCTGTTGCTTACTAATATGGGGTGTTTCAAAAATCCCTGGTGTAAAACCATTATCAAAAATGGCATATAATGCAGTTACTACTGGACATGTTCAAGGACAATTTACAAGAATATTGTAAATAATATATAATATCAAAAGTTCACATTCCATTTTTTATGGTACATATTTGGTTTTTAATATTTTCAATAAATACAGTGAAAATAATATATAAATATATTATATTAATAATATATTAATATGGGAGTCTTGGAATTTGTAATTGTTTGCAAATAAGTTATGTAAATATTTGGGTATTAACTGAAGGTTTAATTTATTATACATTTTTATTTTTTAATACTTAGAATATAGTTCTGATATTTAAAGTAATAAAATACAATTATAAGTAACTTAAATTATTTTAACATTTTGAGTTGAAAAAAAATAAGTTAATTCCTATTCAGTCCACTCTACTCAGAAATATAAATATCTATAACTATATAATGCACATATTATATTCTAGAAATTCATAATTTAATCAGTTTATTTAAAAAAATTTAAAGAAAAGAAAATTATCTATATTTAAATAATTTCTACTTGTTTACTACTCAGTAAAATATTAATCCGCCATCAGTGGTTTCCGTCTTTTCAACCTCTTTTATTATCTCTTAAATAATTTATGTTTGGAACCACAGGTATTATTTTTAATGTTGATACCTTTTCTTATACTGATATAGAATGTTTACTTTTTTTATTCTAATTTTATATTGTGTACACAGCATAATATTTCTATTTATTAATAACACATTTATTGAAATGTCCAAATTATGACATAATATTTTGGATATTATTTACATACCCATGTTTGTATTATTCTACAATTTTAGTGATTATTCATTTATTGACTTGAAAAATGTATACTATCATACAATATAAATATTGTGTTGACTTAATAACTTGAAATATATTTATTATAATAGTTGATTAAAAATATACAATTTTGTATAGTATGGTCAAAAGGACAAATCCACCTCTCATGTATTTTTAGAGGATGCCATGGATGCCAAGTTAATTATATTTTAAACAGTGGTGTAACTAGAAGAAATAGGGCTTTTAATTGTTTCATGTTTATGTTACTTTATTATGATGTATGTAAATAAAATCATGTATTTTTTCATATTTAATTGACTAAGTAGTATATTTTAAAATTAATAGACAAACTATAATCTTAAGTTCTTTTTTTTCCCCTTACATTGAAAGATCCTGGCCACACCACTGATTAAAAGGTTTATATGTAAGATATACAGAAACATACAAGTAACATCTCAAGTTTTTTTTAATGGCAATTTATTTTTTAATTTTTTTATTCTGGGAATAGTTTTAGTAAATTTAACAAATTATTTATGTTTTGTTTCAGTAAATAGCTAACAGAAGTAATCTGATCATGTATAAAAATAATCAAACAGAAGATAATTATGATCATATTGATAATTCACTGATTTATACTACAACAAACATTCCAGGACCTGGTTGTGATATGAATAATTTTAACTGCTGTCCTAATTATGTTTGTAATTGTACAGATTCTTGCAAAACACTAAATTGTAAATGTGTTCGTTTAGTTGGTTGTAATAATTATGACAATTTTGGTAAACTAATTTCTATCAATAGATTTATATATGAATGCAATAATTTATGTAATTGTATGTCTTCTTGTCAAAATCGAGTTGTTCAACTGGGACCACGAATTGGACTACGTATATCTCATAATACTAAAGGTTATAGTTTATATACTGATATTGCTATTGAAAAAGGACAATTTGTTTGTGAATATGCTGGTGAAATAATTGATTTGCCTGAAGCAAAGAGACGTTCAAATTTAGACAGTGAAAATTATATATTTGTGATAAATGAACATGTTGCCGATTGTGTTACCACTACTGTAATTGATGCTACTATTATTGGAAATATTGGTCGTTATATTAATCACAGTTGTCAGCCAAATTGCATGATTATACCAGTTCGTATTGATTCATTAATTCCAAGATTAGCAATTTTTGCAATAAATGATATAAAATGTAACGAAGAAATAACATATCATTATGGTGGTGAAGGAGGATCTCACTCTCATAATAATTTGTCTGAAATTAAATGCTTGTGTGAATCATTTATTTGTAACGGATTTTTACCCCGTAAAACTGGGTTATTTTAATATTTTAAATTTAAAAATTATTCTAGAATTAGTACAAAATGTAAAAAAATGTATATATTCTTAAATTGTGTATCTTAATATGACATTTTATTTATTATTTAATTAATACTGTATTATAATATTGTTTGTTTTTAGTACATGTTAAATATAATTTTTTTTTGTGATATTTCAATATAGTTTAATACAGGCCTCATAACTACTAATGTTATAAAAAAAAATTAAATATGTTGACATTAATTTTTTCAAAAGTGAGTAAATTTAAAAAATGTAATTATATAATAGAAATTTGGTTAGAAAAAAAAATTGTGTTGCCATTAAATACATTTGATTTAATTAATTAATCCTGATTTCATCTACATCTTTACTTACTTTTCAATCAAAACAGAATTCCTATAAATTCCATCAAATTTTTTTCTTTTAGCCTTACAAAAGACCTTAAACACAATGAATAAATACATAAAATTAACAAATAATTTATTAGTGATTTTCAACTAGTGTGACTTGTTTTAAGTTTTAATAAGTTCATAATTGTGTTTGAAAAGTTTTTGACTAGTACAAAAACATTGTAAAACTACTATTGTATATATAATTATTAATTAGTATTATGAGAAAAGTAGTTAACATTTTTTTGTTACCAATAAATGAAATTTGTAATCATTAATTTTTAATATCTTAAATAATACATTTTAAAATAAACAACTTTTAAAGAAGGAATTAGTTATTTTGTTGATACTGAATTTAAAGAACAAAATAATATCAATGACACTGAAAATGGAAAAATTGTGACCGCTATATGAAAAAATATGAATGCTTCAGTTTTCATTTGATAGTATCATAACATAATATTTAAACGTGTAATTGAAAAATTATAGGGAAAGTATTAATATTTTATTTTCTAGTAATAGAAATATGTAATATAAGCCAGGCTTAATAAATTCTTATCATTATTAATAATCATAATTTATAAAATAGTTCAATAGTATTTTTATTAAGCCTTCTGGCTTCAACGCAAAGCATGGGGGTGACCTATAATCGATCAAAGAGATGACACACTAGATGAATAAATAAAGATCTTGGGACTGACAGTATGCATTCAAGGAGACACTCCAATGCAACACAAAATCAGATAGTAAAATTCATATTATATAGATGTCACAATTGCCTTGCTAACATTAGTTTTCAAGTAAAATTGAGCAACTAGAAAGTATTACAAAAAAAAAAAAAATGGATACTAATTAACATACATCATAGGACATTTAAGACCAATAGATTTAAAATGTAGTCTAGGGAGCCAACTGGTCTATGCTAAAAGGGAGGCACAACAAAACAAATTTTTTTTTTAAATTGATTTCTTTATGAAAAAAAAGTCATTAGATATTGTACTATTGTAACGTCTTCTTGATTACTTGATTATTATAACCAGAAATGAAGAGTTGGCTTACGATAGTTGGTAATGAACAAAAAAAAAGAATCCATCGTACTGGTGGTTAATTTATTAATCAGACTGCATCATAGTAAAATAGTATTAAATTCCTTAATTCGCTAATATTGCTTTGAATTGTATCAAAAAATCAAACGATAATTATAATATTAAATTATACCGAAATACCTAAACCTAGAGAGCCTATAAATAATATAAAACTCTACTTATTTACCTTAACGCAGTGATTGGTAAAATAAAACAATTGGTTTTTTTTTTTTATTATTATTAAGATATTTACAATCTGTGTATTAACATTCAATTGTGTAAATAACAAATTTTGTTTAACAATTGGTTTAAACCACGAACCACTATGAACTTACTACGGCACTATTAATATTATATTACTCTATATACCACTACCACGGTTTAAGATAATACTATCGTTTATCATTTATTGTTTACATCGCTACAACACGATAAAACCATAAACTACAAATTATTTCTTGTTTTGGTGTGATAACGTGTTTAAACTCTCGTGATTTGTATTTTTGTAGTCACAGTACACAATTTATTGAAATTAAACCATTTTTGTACATATTTGAATGAACACATTATAATTATATTTAATTAAAAAAACTATGGCTACTAAATTCGAAGGGTGAATATTTTATTTATACCTTTCATTTTATTTTTGAAAGTTATTATTGGTCATTTTTATATTATTTAATTTCAGATCGAAAACTGTGAGTGAAGATGAAAACACTACATCTAAAAATGTGACGCTTGCTGACAAATTAATTAACGTGAGAGTAAATTATTTTTAAAAATTTCAAAATATATATTTGGTATCAACTTTTGATACCTGTGTTCATACAAATTTCTTTTTCTCCTGTCTTTATTGCACTCAAGTATAGTCAGCTACTCATATTTTTGTCCTCTTCATCTCCCTTCTAATCTTTTCCTCATTTATTCCAAATGCCCTCTATATCTTTTCTTATAATCTATAACTAATTTTTCTTTAATTTACCTTTTACCCAGTTTCCATTAACATTTATTTGATTTATCTCATCTGCTATCTTCTTGGTTACATCATTCTCCATTATTCTTCCCTAAACATACCCATATTAAAAATAAATAAAATACAGTTTGATTATGTATAATACAATAGATATTGGAAAATGTATTTAATTAAACTTCATTAAAAATACATCATTGTAATAACTAAAGTGTGTTTCTGTATTTTGAAGACTTAAACTAAAATTTTACCTTTAATTAAAAAGGGAACGCCAACCCCCACCTCACTTAAACCATTGTTACTAATTCTGTCTAACCTAGTTACACCACACATCTATATTCATATTATCATTTCTGTTACTTCTATATTTATTTCATATCTTTTGTTGAGTACCCAACACTTAGACATCATCAGAGACTTCATAACATTTTGATAAATATTTAAAAAAATAAAACTTGGTTTATAATTTATTGTAAGAATTTAGAAATACAAATACATTTGTAATTTAATTGAAATTTAATACATTTAGAAACTATTGTGAAAATGTGATAATAAATTATTTAAACATAAAACAGATATATTATAAAATTGTTTTATTTGATTTAGATACCTTTGTCAATACCCTCTGGAGATCATAAACTTCAACATCAGTATTGGTTTTGGTTCAGTCGCCGATTTCCAGGAAAGCCAGGAAACACACCTAGTTATGATCAAAATCTTAAATACCTAGCGAGATTTGGTTCAGTTGAACAATTTTGGACTATATATAGCCATATGGTAAGGCCATGTGCTTTACAATCACACTGTGAATTCCATTTATTCAAAGTTGGAATTAAACCCATGTGGGAGGTAAAATATTTTTACATTAAACCAATTAATACCGTATATAGATAATATAATTCAGTTTTCTTTCAAATTTTAGGACGAATCAAATGCCAGGGGTGGAAAATGGGTATTACGAATACGTAAAGGTCTAGCGTCCAGGTGCTGGGAGAATCTCATTTTAGCTATGTTGGGTGAACAGTTTATGGTAGGTGATGAGATATGTGGTGCTGTGGTTTCATTACGATTTCAAGTGAGTTATTTAATTTATGTATATTTTACACAAAAATACTTATTTTGCCATAGTTTTCTATTGTAGTTTAAGGTTTATTAGCCTTACTTAATGGTCAAAAGAAATACAAATTAAGTTTAATGTAGTATTTTTTTATTTATAATAGTTTTAATGTCAAATTTGAAAAACCATAAAGACCTTTCTAAACATGTATAACCAAATTTTGCTCTAAATCAATTTTTGTTAGCAATGGTTTATCATTGCTAACAGCTATAAATTAAATAATATCTTACCTTCTCAAGTTTTCACCTACAACAGTGGCACAAGCATTAGCAGTATCGTATCTTCTTTATTTTTAGCTATTAGATTCTGAGTTTGGCAAGAAATTTATTGGTTTTTTATGGTCTGTTCTCAAAACATTGAGAGTATTAATTATTCCGTAATTACATTTTTCCATCTGACGTATTCAATTAAATTTTGCTTAGAATTTGTTTTTGTGGCAATTATTTAATAATTGGTGTTTAAAAATGAAAAATGATCATAGAACATTAGCTCATGTTATGTATATTAATATTTTATTTTATTATTTAGGAAGATATTATATCTATTTGGAACAAAACATCATATGATCAAGGCGCAACAAACCGTATAAGAGATACACTACGCAGAGTATTAAATTTGCCACCAAATACTATTCTAGAATATAAAACACATAACGAAAGCATCAAGTCGGTGTCCAGCGTTTATAAAATGTAAATGACATTAATTAAAACGTGATTTATATTATAAAAAATTTTTATTACAAAAAGTTAATAAAATTATAATTATAAAAAAAAAAAAAATATAAAAATAAATGTTTAAAATATAATTTATTATTTACAATTTTTTTTTTACATCCCAATTTTAAATTCCAGACAAGACAGTTAAAAATATGATGGCAGTGTATCTAAAATATATTATAATTATAATAGATTTATTTACCAATTAGTTACATATATTGTATGGCAATAAAATAATTTTGACTTATTAGATAAAATTAATTTTCTTTTAGTTACACAATAGGTTTTTTATATATATATATACAGGAGGTCCCACGAAGATATACATATTTTAACATCTCCAGATCTTAAAGATAATCAAACTCACTACACATAGTTTAATAATTAATCATTATAATTTATTAATAGTTTGTTTTGGTAAAAAACTTAAAAAATAACTATTTTTGAAAAATCTGAAAATTGTAATTTTTTTAGAGTCTATTCTTCTGAAAATATTGACATCAACTTTTTCATTAGAATAAACTTAATCTTCAAATTTTTTCAAAAAAAAATAAAATAAAAATTTAATTGAAACAGAAATACATGTAGTCCTTATCCCTATGAGTAATATATGTATATATTTAGATTATAAAAAACAAACAATTTGATTATATTTATTATCTCAAAAGATATTGCAATGGGTATATCTTCATGGAACACTGTATATATCCATATTATTTTTTTTAACAAATTGACTGCTGCAGTACTTAAATAGGTATATATAGTACCAAATGCTCCTTCAAAGCCAGAAAGTTAAACGCTGTATGTACCAGTCTTAACAAAGCATGTAAATAATAAAAGAGTTAAAAATATTTATGCCTAAGGTGGCACTAACTATGTGAGTACCAGACATGGTACTCATGGCAGTCAACTTGTTAAGTATGTAAGTTGACAAACAAAATATATATTGGTACATTTTTACCTTTAGTTTAGCAAAAGCTTTTTTTTTTTTTAAAAAAAAAAAGATTACGTTCAACTAATAAGAACAAAAATAAAAAAAAAAAATAGTTTATAAAACTATTCTTAAATTAGCAGACACCATTATTTATAGGTTAAATATATTCCCGTGCATTATTGATGTTGCAATATAGTTATCGTAATCATACCTGAAATTATAAAAATAAATTATTATAAATACTTATACATATAAATATACATTATTTTAGTAGGTGTAAAGACAAAGTATATAACAGTCTGTTCTATTTATTTAAGATCTAGATACTTTAGTTTTGTTTTTGTCATGTATAATAAGTTATTAGAACCACAAAAGAGGCGTATAAAATTATTTATGGGTATAGTTATGAAATATAATTATTTAAAGTACAAAAAGTGTACAGCCCAATATCTTTAGAATCAATATAGTATTTTAAATAGAACGGTATAAGAACACTTATCAGAATTTTGAATATTCACTGGAAATGTATATTTTTAAATTTTCATAATTTTATATGATGCTCCACTACTCTCCCTACCCAAATTTAAAAGTACAAAATCTGTTCAATACCAAAATATATTTAAATTAATACTCCATCTATCCATGAAATATTTAATATAAGTTTCTTTTTGATAATTAAATTTGTTAGTCATTTCACTCCCAAAAATAATATTAATGTTACATTTTAGAGTTTTTTATTTCTTACTTTATCAAAATTTTTTTTGAAATATGGAGTTTAGCTACAAATGGATTACCGGTTATGTACTATACATATATGTATATACCTATTATATACACTTAGATACACAATATGCATACACATTACACATAAGTAATATAATATATACTTACCTAAAACATAAGCCAATGCCAATTTTAAGTTAAATGAAATACGAAATTTTAGAATATCAGTATCTTCTGAAGATGGTAAAAGTAATCCACATAAACATACTCCAGCCATAAATAGGGTTGTGATATTAGGCCCAGAAGTCCCTGAAATATATAAAAAAAAAGTAAATTTTAAAATTAAAAAATATAAATATAAAATACCTAATCAAACAAATAAATGTATGGTAATGTTTTAAACTGTTTTAAAATGATTAATTTATGTTTTGATTATAAGATCAACAGTTAATATTGATAAATAAATAAATATTATTGCTTTTGAGTATTTATCATTATTTAAATACTTTTTGGTAACCTTCACTTTGTCATTAATTAATACTATTTAATATCAATTAATAATAACATGACATAATATATTATATTTTTTTGTTTTAAACTTGTTTTTATAAAACCTATAATATGCATGCGATTGTAAATAATGTTCATATTTTTATTTGTATTTTTCAAGTAGTTCCTTTAAAATCTACTTACTCTTATTGTAATTTTGTCTTATTTCTGATTCATTGTCAAAGTTATCTACAGGTGTATCACTTCTCAGAAATTGTTTAAAATTTTCAGCTGGTAGTTCATCATTTTCTGAAGACCTTACTAATATTGTTTCAACATCTTTATGTCCAATCACCTTCTTGGTTGTATAATACTGCATTTGTATACGAAATTTATCTCTAATATCGCAAAAAGCAGCCGCGGGAGCATTGTGTCTCACCACTATATCCACTCGAGAACTAGCACTTATTGAACCTTCGGGTGCAACTACAGTATACTTTTTAGTACATGTACAAAAAACTATGAACAAATATTTTATAAGAACAAATAAACAATACAATAATAATACTAATGAATTTACCCTTAAACCTGACTGGGAAGTCATACGGATTGAAAAGAGTAATTATTTGCTTGTGAGACGATCTGTCGTCCAAACTGAAAGTTAGCGTTTGTGGACTAACAAATACAGGGACTTTACATTCGGTCATCATGACTACGTATAATTAGAACAATGGACATATTATGTTTCACATTAGCTACTATACTATATAATATAACGTAAATAAATAAATTACGTTGTTTGATTGAAGTTATTGTGATTTAAGTTATAACGCAACTTTTATTAATGCCTTTATCACTCGTTATCATTATTATTTTTTTGTTCCCTTATCTTTTATCGTAATATTTCTCATAATATTCATAGACGATTTCTCCTCATTCTTTTTGGAAACTATATACTATTGAGTGTGGGACTGGTACAGTACAGACTTTTTTTTTGTTCTTATCAGGTTCACTGTTATCAAAGGGGGTGTACCAGTCCCTAACGAGTGTTTCATTGCAGCTTAGCAAATTGGCTGTAGCGCACGTAGCTCCCTTTATCATATTATTATCACTGTTAATTTCAAATTAGATAATCAGATTATGCGCGCGTGAATTTGAATTATTGTAATGTACGCGTATGTATCTGACCGTTTCCCCTACTCAAACGGCACGCTCTAGTTTTACTTAAATTAATGATAATATATTATTAAGAATTATTGGTGAAAACAATATTTCTAAATTTACATTCTCTTATTGATCTGAAATTATCTATATTCTCTCTCCTTGTATTATGAAATTCAAATTCACTTTTGTTCAAAAAAATTACCAAAAATCATAGTAATTGTGAATGAAGGAAGACAAACACACAGTTGAAGAAGTCAATTTTCAAAGAAAAATACATCCACAACTTCGGCTTTATTAAACAAAGAAGAAATCTAGCAAAACATCAATTGTAAAACCTTCTGTAAATGAAGTTCATGCGATTATTTCTGGACTTAAAGATGACAATAATAAGACTATAAATGTCCATAATGTATTTGATCATTCGTATTCTTAGAATACTAAAAAAATTTTGCATAAATATCTTAAAACTCTATTTAAATATTTAATGATCAAAACTGTGTATACCTACCTATTAGATTGTAGTTACAATTGTCAATTACATTACTTTTAAATTAATAGATTGGTTTTTTGTTAATAATAATATGATATGTAATATACATATACATGTATATGGTGCGTTTGTGTAGCTCGATTAAACGTTTATAAGCGCTTATCAATCCTACCGCACTCATAAACTTATAATTATAGCCCGGAATTATATGCATATAAAAAATGTCAAATATGATGCAAATTTGCATACAAAGAGTGGTTAAATATGCAATTATATGCATTATATTATCCTTAATAAAATATGTTTAAAAAAATAAAACACCATATTTACACCAAGAATAGTAGTAAACTTAGTAATAATTTATTATATATTATATTATTTGAAATAACATATATGAAAACCTAACAATAAACTTTCAAAATAATAAAACTAAAATCACATGCTTTTTACCACACAAGATTTTAAAATATAACGACACGTGATTGTGAGCCAAGTTAGAGCTCTGATTTCATATACTACACTGTAGCAAATATAATAATATTTTAACAAAATTCCTCTGAGAAACAATGTCAACAATTTTTTTTGTCTACGGTAAAATTGATTTATTGATAATAAATTCACATTATATGCACGTTAAATGTATTTATAAACTAGCATGCAATATTCCTCCGAATATTAAAAATATGTAGTTAAATTTGGTGTTTGAATACGGTGTGATATGAATCGTAGACATTTCAAACCACTATCGACGTGTATATACTGTGTACAAACACGCAAATACATTTAATACCGAGCTCTACTTTTTTCACAAGTCTATTGACACCGTTCGGTTTGGCGTTTGATAGCGCTCAGACTACGGTTACTGCATGTAGCGTGTTCATCGCTCTTCGTGTATGATGTAATAACTACACAACTGATATCAGACAAATCGATTTTATTATCGATAGTTAGTATCGATTATATTATTTATTCAAATGTTTTTTTTTTATTCAATTATATTATGATTGTTAATTAAAAAAATTAAGTATTTAAACAACCAAAATAAACAGGTAGGTATAATAGATATATTTAAACAAAACATGTTATGTATACATTAATAATAAATAATTTCTAATACAAGGTATAAGAAAAAAAAAACAATATTAAAAATACAATATAATTTACTTACAAAAATAAAAACATGTGTTTTATATATTTTATTTAAATGTGAGGTAGTACATATACAAATAAAAATCAATATTTCTGTATTGTTTTACATTTTTTTAAGAATGTTAACAATCGTTTAGCTGAGTATATTTTAATACAGTCTTTTTCATTGGTATTAATTGTTCGTTGACCATATAGGATTCTATTAATTTCAGTACAATAATTTAATTACATAATTTAAAAATACAGTAGAAAAGTGTTTACCATGTGTTTGACAAATGAGATAGAGAATTTCAAATTTTTGTAAAATTATAGATGTTAATTTTGCTTTTAAATCTGAACAATGACAAATTAAGGAAGTTAGAAACACATTTTATTCATAATGTTCTGAACTAATGAGGAAAATTCAAAATTAGGATACTTCAGACATAATTTATTTGTCTGATACTCTCTAGCCTCTCTCTCTCATATCTAGCCTTAATAATGCCGTGATCTTTAATTTTTTTTTAATATACATATCTTTGAATAATATTACATTTAATTTTCTTGCAATAAAACTGGCAATGTAATATTGGGTTTAAGTTTGTAAGTTTTCAATGTCACTAGTATTAATTGACCTCTCTCTCAATCGACCATTAGCCACCCTCAGTTCTAAATTTAAATTACTAAGACTATAAATACATTCATTAGCAAACAAATGTTCATATGTTGTATGACAGCCTTCAGTGAAATCTTCGCAATAGTTCCCAAGTGAGTTAGTTGATGTTAAGTTATTGATTATAAGAGTTTTGTTTGCTGATAAAAATTCTGTAGTTGATGGGCTGTTGTTACATCCCAAATTTCGAATAGAACCAAAAAATTTGTCTAAATTATCTTAGTTGAAGGTCCTTAACAATAAGCTGTTGATCTCCTTTTAAGCCATTATTTTTGTATTGTTATGAAAATCTACAAGAATAAAATAAATATTAATTATGAATTGATTTGTATTTTTAATTTTCTAATGAATTATAATATTATTAATATTAAAATTACCTCTTATTATTTTCATCCAGTTAGTTATCACACGTGGTTGAGAATTGATTTACTTTTCAGAGACTATATTAACATATTGCATACATTTTAATATTTTCAATGAATCTTCCCATAGTTGATGATGGGAAGACTTTGATTTCACTGCTGTTTGGTATATCTTTCCATTAACGATCTTATCAAAACTGCCATTTACAGAGTCAAAAAGTTGATAAAAAAACAGACATAATTTGGCTGTTTTTGCTGCTTGCTTATCTATATGACCATAAGCTGAAACAGACAAATAATATTTTACATAAAATAACCACCAATTTATTTGAATTTAAATTTTATTACATGCAAGAAATTCATTATTAATGATACTCGTTGACTTAACACTTGACATGCATATTTAACTTTCATTTTTCTGATTTTTGCAGTTATAATATGTTTATGAATTAGTCTGGGTAAATCTCGAATTTGATTTTTAAATTTTGTTTTGCCTTCAAGCAATTACTGATCTATACATACAACATTAGACTCAATATTAAAGGCTGTATACAAAAAGCAATACAAATATGAAAAATTAGATACTTTAATTAAAGAAAAGTTGTACGTACTTATAATGCTTAATATTCCATCAAGCTTATTATTTGTCAATTTTTCTAAACCAGACATATCTTAATATATTATTATACTTACTCAGAACACTACACGAAGAATTTTCTATAATGTCAGACAACCCCAAACTATTTTTACTTCAACACTAGTGTTGAAATGCAATAAATTTGAATCAAGTTCATTTTGTAAGCGTGCTGGTATTTTGTACACATAAAACATGGGTATTTTTGTGTAACAAAAAAAAAACAACAATTTATGTTAATAAACAATGTAAATAATAACAGATTTTAGATAATAGGAATGTGTATTTTATGAATATGAATATTTATAAACCAATTTTAAATGATGGTTTAACATTGGATTTTAACCACTTGGCTAACTACTTTTTGGACTGTTAAAAAAAAAAAAAACATGCAAATGCATATAATGATAATATTATACCAATTTCAAACCACAGATATCCATACTATAGTATTGATACATAGATGTATAGTATAGATATCTGTGTTTCAAACGCAAATAATCGGAGCAAGTTTACCTGGACAAAAACGTGTCCACAGACTAAAAAAAAAAAGAAATTTCCTATGTTTTTTCCAAATTTTTCACATTTGCTGTCAAAACTCATGAGAAAATCGAAAAATGACCTGTTTAAGGCATCTTCCCTCGCCGATTTTCTTTCAGAAAAGTTGCTACGCGTAAAAATCGGAGTAAGTTTTCTGGTAGAAAAGTTATTCACAAAAAGAAAAGAAAGAAATAAACATCTATATAAAGCAATAAGCTTTTTCGCTCCACTAAGAATCTAAAAAGAGTTGATACTGCTGATGGGTGCGTCACTGTTAATAGTAGGAAATCGGGAGGGATGCATAACGCTATTTAATTAATATCAATAAGCAACAGTTCTGAGCGAAGGTCGATTATACTTTATACGTGACTTGAAATGCTATAATATTTACAATTTTCATTAAAATTTTATATTTAAACGATTGTAAAAAAAACTACTTTACTACATTACTTTCAACTTTGTAGGCTTTTCTATTAAATCAAACGACTATATCCATAAACTGATGTAGTCCTAAAAATCTTGAGTATATGCAAATTATAAGTAAAAGGGGTGGTTGGGGGCAATTCTCACATCTCCCCAAAACATTTTTTAGATTCAAAAATCTAAATTTATTTTAATTGCTACAATCATAAAAGTATACTTAATCATATATCATTAGATATTACAATTTTAAGTTATATTACGCGTAATATAATTAAATAGGTTTCTACCTAATATTAGGTATGTAGATATACCTATAGATAATATTTCCTATAGGGAATAAGATATCTATTGCTTGTAATAAAATTTTAAATTGAACTCAGATTACGGATTATAGTCATAGACCATCATAGAGTCAATGTAGACAGAAACTGTATTGTTCTCCCGTAAGACAGTGTATAGTATATATAGGTATACCCATAGACGTATTATATTAAAATATTACGTCTGTGGGTCAAAACGTCAAAGACATAATAATGTCTGCGTCATCGGTTATCATTTACGCACCGCTCATTTACCTTGTATCAACATATTATACGTCATTTGCGTATCAATAAATGAGCGATAAGTAAAAAATAATGATAAAATAGGTATATTGAAAAGTACAAAAGTTGCATAATGCATATATCATTTATTATAATATAGTATTTGCCTCTGTTATCTAATAATTAATATTGTTACTTTAAAATTGGTCAATTAGCGTATCAACTAGATATATCTTGTTACCTATATTATTTGATATCTGGTTGAATTGGGTCGTTATTACAACTCACCCGAGGTTATCGTCAAATTTTCTTTCCAGTTTTTCCCAATTATTTCAAAAACTCCTTGGAAAATCAAAAAATGACATTTCTATTGCACCAAATAGACAACATTTTCTATCAGAAAAGATACTATACTCTTTACATTGGAGCAAGATTTCTTTTCGAATAGTTGTTTACAGATCGTAAAAAAATAAATAAAAAAAGCACACATTATAATAAAACCAATAGATCCCTCGCTATACGCTCTGAATCTGAAATATACTCAAAAACGTTTTATCTCAATAAACTTTATTTAAGAAGTACCTATCCAAAGGATTCTCAACCTTATTATACACACAAAAATATTTTAAATGGTATGCATCAATATAAAAAAAAATGTTTTATGAATAATTTATAAAAGTAAAGTGAATTATTCACTTCAAAATAGGAGGCAGTGGCGGGCTGGTCATGGGAGTTAGAAAGATATAACTCCCAGGGCCGGTGGTTTCAAGTCCGTATCAGAAAGTATAAATGGGGAACCAGGTTTTATTAAAAAAGTATTTATAAAAATTTAAATCCTAAAGATAAACACAGTAGTTTTATGTTTGATACTATGTCCATAAAAAACAAATATTATGGGACGAAAATCTATAGAAATTCGTGAGAAAATGTGATTATGGAAACGAAATAGATATTGAAGGTATTGATACTCCAGCCACTGAAGTGTTAGTTTTTATGCAGGTTAGTATTAACGGTAGGTGGAAACTTCCTGAAGGTTATTTTCTATAAAATAAAATTACAGCCGTAGCTCAAGCTGAATTTATAAAATCAGCATTAGCCCATGATTTTGATGTTGGTTTAAATGTCTGCAGTGTTACATGTGATGATGCTTATACTAATTTTTCTTCATTATAGATATTTGGTTGTGAATTTGGCTCAAGTTACGATAGCATAAAGTGTTGGCTTGAACACCCTATTAGTAAAACAAAAGTATTTTATATACCATGTCATATGTTAAAACTATCTCGTAATATACTAACCAATAATCTTTTGTTAGAATCTAAAAATGGCTTCATTCAGTGGAACCATAAAAAACATTAAATAATAAGTAATATTGGAAAAAAATGTCTGCAAAAAGCTTTTTACTCAACCCAAAGGTTTTGTATAAAATAGTAATATTAATTCCCGTATAAGTGTTATTAATAATTTTACAACGAAAAAATCTCCATCTGTCCTGAATCAAAAGTTTCAATAATTGTAAACCACCCTCAAAGTGCAGTAATTTATTTTTAACCATTCTACTTAAAGTACCTTCATTCATTCAAGAGAAGAATTGTTTTTTACATCCTGAAAATTGTAATAACTCATCGAATAATCATAAAATAAGAAATGTGTAATCAGTATAATTTATGTTTTTTTAAAAAATAAAAGTAAATTCGGCAATATTATTTTAATGTTACTAATACGTATATTATAGGTGTATCGTCTTTTAAAAAGAACATCAATTTCAAACCCTCGTCTTACCAATGTTCAGTAATAGAATTTTGATTGTAATCTTTGCAAACCCCAAGGTCAGACAATATCCCTTTAAAAATAAATAAATAGGTATACAATTATATTCCTTTAAAATAAATAGGTAGGCATGTATGTAGATGTACATTCCGGTTGTGTATTTCAAATGAATAATTGTAATTCGGTTCCTATCAAATTATTTTATTAAATACATCAAATTTATAATAAGGTATGCAAGTAAATATTTTTGTTGAACTCTCAATTGAACAATAAATGGTACCTATTAATTACATTAGGTATGTTGATTTTTAAACAGAGAATAAATTTTAAAATCTCTCCAAAAATCTGTCGCCAAGTGCAATTCCCCTCAATACTGGTCAACCTTATGTACAGGTGAAACCATTACTTACCAACTTTTGATTTTCAGATTACAATCTATAAATTCAAAATTCCATACATATTTAAATACATTTTAAATGCATAATTTTTTCTATCTATTGTAATTTTTATCGTTGTTGACATGCTTTCTATAACTTGTACTAGGTAGCTATAGTATGACTGAGGCTATCCCTCCCTTTACTCCAGCTCTGAGTATCAGCTCATGATATTATTTGAAATTTATTAAGAAATTGTGCAATAAAACTTGTAAAACTGTGCCATTGTAGACAATATTATATATTTAATAAAAATTATGATTGCCCACTTAACTATACTTTTTTCTAGGTCTTGATTCATAAGCTATAGGCATAATTTAATATTCATCTAATTATTATACATCTATTTTGATTTTAGATTTATAATTTTTTTTGGTTGATAGTTATAAACATTATAGTCTATAATAGCTGAAATCTAGATTACTAAATTAGATATTAAGTACCTATAACCTCTGGTGTGTATAGTATTTTTCTTTTCTGTGGTTTATTTATTACAGTTGGTACAATACCTATGTTATAATTTAGTTTTACTTTGGGGGTGAACACCTCTTATAGAAAGATACCCACCTACACATAAATATGCGACTGCATAGGACCACGCCTAAAATTACATACCTATCTATTCCTATTTTTAATTTTATATTAAGTAATACAATTTGTTTTTTATAATATGTTTTTGCTTAAAGCAAGTGAGTGAGATAGGTAATATAATAGCCTCGTCTGTGAATATATCAGTGCACACAAATAATATAATACCTATTAGCATAACCGGTTTACCAGACACCTGTGCTATAAATTCAACTGGTTAGTATATTATAGAGATTGGTAGGTAGGTATGTATATTTTGAAATTTTTTATGCTATACAAATCATGTAAATTGAAACATTAAAAACTTGAATAAAACAAAATTATATATAATACAGCATAATGCATTTTAGATTTTGTGATCATCAAGGATAAGATAATATAATATTTAGTCTTTAAATTTTGTATTTTTTCAATTTTTTCTATTAAAATACAGTGATAGTAAAACTGCACTATAAGTTCTCAATAAACGGACTACTAACTCAAAACCTCAAAAACGTAGAGGGTGTAATGATGTAAACATTGATACATAATTTTTCTTTATAAGATTACTGAATCAGTATAATATTTATACATTTATATTACATATACTTGTGGAGAACTATATTTAATTATTATGCGATCATTAATCATTTATGTTAAGGTACATCCTTAAATTGATGCTAGTTTTTAATGAGATTAATAAATGCGGCAAACATATCATTTTTTTAAATTTTATGGCTGTTTTGAAAATTCTATTCTATCAAGATAATATTGTGATATTGTTTGATTAAAGAGGTACTTGTGTCTATTCAAATTCTCATATAAGCTTCATACTTATTTAAACAATAATAACTTAATACATTTAGAAAGGAAGTCACGGTTTTCTTTTGTAAATTATTGAATACCTATAGTTAATGAAACATGTCATATTGTACCAAATTAATTACAATAAGCGCAATAATAATTATGGATTATTTTATAATAAATTGAAATGGATAAGTGCATAAAGATGGATATCAGATGATATTAGTTTGATAATACTAATTAAAAAAAAGAAAAACAACAAATTAATACCTTATAATAATTATATACCAATTTTCTTTTCAATTATAGATTTATTTTTGTTTTTATACATAAAAACATTATTATTTTCAGTAATATTTACAAAATTGTTTTACTGCATCCATAAGTATCAATGAAACATTTCAACAAGTTTATGATAAACAAGAAGATATTTTAAATTTAAATTACAAAAAATAAATAATAGGTATATAAAAAAATAATAATAATAAAAACCATAATAGAAGGAATTGTATCAGTAAAGTAAATTTATTTAAACACTTTGCAACCGATCCCAACGCCAGATAGTACCATCATCACATACAGAAATTAAAATATTTCCATCACGACTAAAAGTAGTTTGACGTATAACTGTATTACATTTTGGATGAGACAAGGTTGTAACACGCATAGAAGCTTGGTCATTAGAACTCAAATCCCAAACATATATTTTTCCAATGGTATTTCCTAGTGCTAATACCTAAAGCAAAATTATTTTATTTTATTTGTCTTCTACTGTTATAATAGTCATGTAAATACTTTTTGAGTGAAATCCATAGAAAATCGAATAAACCATACATCACAGTCTTTAAAGTCATAATACCATATTTGTGATACTGCAGCTTCATTTAGTTTAGGTTCATTGTCTTTTAAATGACCTGGTTTCCAGCAAACCATACAGTTTTCACATGACTAAAATAAAATAAATTTAATGAGAGTTTAAAATTGTTATAATATTGGTCATTTAAAAGTATACAGAATATATTACTTTGGAAATTACATAATCACCAATCCATCTTACACAATCAACATAATTTCTATGAATATCACGAGTTGAAAATACAGGAAAATGTTCCTTAATAGTATCAAAAGGACGAGCAGATCGATTAGGATTAAATGCATATGATTGTCTAATAGCATCTTGAATATAGTCTTTGTCTAAACTCCATAGCTTTAATGAATGGTCCATTCCACAGGACATAATACGATTACCATCAATATTAAAATCCTGAAATTAATCAAACAATGACAGTTTAAATATATAGTATAATAATTTGAGTTTATTTTTATTTTTATCAATTACTGCTGAAAGAACTTCATCTCTATGACCTTCAGCACCACCAAAAATAACAATGCACACATCACTTTTTATATTCCATAAGCGCAAGGTGTGATCTTTAGATACTGATAACAACATATTAGTATCAATTGGATGGAATTGCAATTCGTTGATCGCTTGTCCGTGACCTAGAATAAGAGTATACGATTATATTATGTAAACAGAAAAATTACATATTAATATTATAATTTTTAATTAAATAAAAAATAATAATAATACCAATATAATGTCGAATAGATGACATAGTGACTGGACTAAGAATACGTATGATGCCTCGATTACCAGCGATAGCCAAAAGTGGTTTGCCGTTTTCATCTATGGACCACGCACAAGTATAAAATGTTTCATTTGTCTAAATATATATATATACATATATACAGTAATAAAGATAAATACAATTGTATCATAAAAAAAAAATATTTAATAATAATGAATTTGTACATCTGGATCCGCATAGCTTTGCAATAAATTTATACTTCCATCATCTAAACATTGGTAAACTGAAACTCTATTACTGCCAACAGATGCAAATATCAACGGCTGGTCTTCATTTAACAAATGATTGAATTGAACACCAAACAGTGATTGACCATGATCTTCTCTCAACGCGCATCTGTAAGTATTCATTTCATAATATAGATAATTTCTAAGTGAAAATGTCTATGTTAAATTGAAAGCAAGATCAAAATTAAAAATTATTAATTAGCAACATTACTAAGATCCAAAATTTGTAAAAGGTAAAGTTAATTTTAAGGTACCTAGTTTAATTACATTAATATTTATAGTAGGTAGGATGAGTAACAAAAAAAAAAATTATTCTCTTAGATATTACATTAATTCATAATTTGAACTATTACATTTAAAAAGTATTATTCAAATTTAATACATACGAGAATTTATACTGAAGTTTAACATTTTTGGTATTATTTGATGGTTTGGATTTTGTTTTTCGACCACGTCTAGCTGGTTCATGACTCCGCGAAGTAAGATCAGTATTTGAACTATCTATACTTGATGCATCGTCCTAAAAAAAATACAATTGAGTATTTATATTTTATAGACCAAAAATAAATCATTTTAATCATTCATTTATAATAAATCAAAACAATTATTAGTTCTAAACCATTATTGTATAGTACAGCTACCTGTAATACATATATATTTTATAATTGTTATATTTGTATATATATAAAAAAATAATTAAGGTATTATGTTAAAGTTTAGATTATTTTTTTACGAGAAATAGTTTTAAAATAATAATTTTGTTTTTATATAAAGAGGCAAAGAGTAAAAAGATATTAATACAAACATTATAAATATAATATTTATTAATATTGAAATATAGAAATGTTATGGATACTTTAATAGAGAAAACTTACAGATTCTACGAGATTAGCGTCAGACATTCTTTAGTAAATAATAAATTAGTTAAGCTAAATAATTTGATTAGGATAAAATATACTGAATAACTAAAAAAATTAAATAAATATTAACAAATAGTTTAAACTTGAATTCCAGTTTATTCTTTCATATCACAAGTAAAATTTAAAACAACAACAATGATAATGATGAGCGCTTTTAAATGATAGCAAATAAACAGTATCGACAACTACAAAAAAAAAAAAAATCTCATTTTTTCAAAATATATTTTTTGCTAATTTTCCATTTTCACGTTTTGATTACTCAAAAACCGTTGAGATTTTCTAAAAAAATTTTCACAACTGTGTATTATTGTTACCTATGCCATTTCGCATGCACGTTGTTGATACGGTTTTTTTTTCTCATTATATCCGCGTCGGATTCCTAGGGGGATATTTTCTATGCTGCTCGTAATAACAATACTAATATGAAATATGTAATTTTTATTAGATTTATCTCCGAGACGTTCGCGAGAGCGTTTCGAACGTAAAATTCTATAACAATGTACATAATATATTATTATTATGAAACATCATAATAGACGAGTGGCTTTTATACAATAATCAGACTTAAAAATAAAATAATATCTCAAAGGTCGGTCCCCCACAAAATAGTGTTGGTATAGGTACGTTGATATATTACGCACACAATTGAAAGCTCCATGGGAATATCGCGTTCAACCGGAAGATAAAGACGGACGTTATAAATAAAATAATAACGGCGCAGGGGACAATAACGTCTATTGTGCAGCTCTCGAGATGAGGTTGTTTGCTTGGCTGGGTCCGTCACGTCGGCGGCGGCATAAGAACGAGAAAAAAAATACTCCCGCAATCAACAATCGCGGTTTCAAAATTTGCGAGGGGAGAACAGACAGAAAGGGGAAAACGATAAAAAAAATTCCCGAGAAAAGAAAGAGGGCGGCCCCGTCTGCGGCGGTGTGTGGGAGCGAACGGGTTAAAGGAATACGTACAGTACGACGTGTAAGTACAGTAAGTGGTGCGCGCGAAGTCACGGCGGGGTTGGTGGGAGGAGGGGTCGACCGGTTTCGGTTGGCACCAGTGCGGCTTGCGAGATCCGTTACGCCGGTCCGGGCCAATGAGAACGCGCGGATTCGCGAAAAACGGTTCCCGGATTGTTGTTTTTTTATTCCTATCGGTCTCTCGTTTTCTCTCTCTTTCTCAGCATTCTCTTCGAGTATACGCTCTGCGTCTCACTCTAGTATTAAAAAACCGACTATTAGCACCCGTTCTCCCGCAGCGGCAGCGTCACTTTGCCGAATTTAACATAAAATTTAACCCTTTTCACACTGGTATATAATAAATATCACCGCTGCCGCTGCTGTCGTCTCGCCGACCGTCGTCGTTGCCGATACACTCGTACACATCTACACGCAACGTCCAGTGTCCACTGCCGCTGGCCATTACATTCGCGTTCCGTCCGCACGTCGCGATAACAACGTTTTCCACGGACCGCCGCCCGGGACGCACAGTGCAAACACACGAAAACACACACGGTCGAGCGGTAGGAAAAAATATAACCACACACAGACCCACACTTGTGCGCGCGCTTTCCAACGCAATCTCTTCGCCGGCCAGGTATGTGAAGATAATTGCCGTACTGAAAATCATCGTCGTCTCAAATGCTCTGCGCTTATAGTTGAAGAACGTCTTTTTGCCGCCACAACCGTCGTTCTCTTTTAACTTTCGCTGGAGTCGTCAAAATTATATCGTAAGTACAAAGTACTCAATGCGGTTATCCACTGTTCTCGTAGTGTTACGCGCCGAAACCTTTCAACGCCCAGTTGTCCTCTGACGAACGTGTCCCGTTCAGCGTTGGCCTTCGATCTGCCACCGCCCGTCACTCGTCATCATCGTTTCACGTTAGGTATTTTTTGCATTTTTTAGTCAGGTATGGAAGTCAACAACGCCAGGTTTAACGAGACAAACGTTAACGAATCGAAAGCAGAACATAATGTTCAAAAGTCCGAGGATCATAAAAAGCTTCTCGATTACGGTATACACGAATTGGTGGCCGACAGGTTAGAAGAAATTTATAAAAGTGGTAAGTTTCTATACGTTTGTATCTATTTCTGCAAGCCTCTACTTAACAAAATAAGTTTAATGAAGAATTGGCGTGGATTAGACTTAGATCATGGTTTAGGAAACATGCCATTGGAATATTGAGTACGTTTAAATACCTAGTAGATAACCTATGTGTATTTTTAATTTCCAAAAACTTCGATATATACACTTAGGTACTTTTTTTCTACAGATAGTTATATTTTGATAAATTGTATCACACTTTAGTTCATAATTATTCAAATGATATTTATCAATAATAAAATATTTTAAAAGTAAATTTTTATTAAAGAGGGGATACCTGCCTCATTAATTTTACATCAAGTCTACCAACTAATTGATATAATAAGAGATAAATTGAATCCATCATGTTATCTACCTATTTAAGAAATTCTTAATAATTTTGTTGGTTTTAACACCTTGAAACATTCCTCTACAATACATATATCTACATATAATGTATCCTAAGTATCATTATACTACTCTTTTGGATAACTTTATTTTATTTTAGTTTTTATTAGTGCAGAGAAAGTATAACATTAAATTGGGTAGATATATTTTTTTTTATCTATATCAGTGCTGTTATCAAATTCACTTATTAAACTTTTTTAAATGAGAACATACATCTTATATTAATCTGATTGAATGTTACGTGGCTATATGATTAGCAGTCAGATTAACCTAGGACCCATATGGATATTTTTAACGAAATTACAATATTAAAATTGTTTGTGATAAATACAATTTATTCACCATTTTAATTTATTTTATTCTAATAAGTCTTACAAAAATATTGTTTGAACATAATATGGTCTTTAAGGATTGAAAATTATTTGATAAATAATTATTAATTGTATACCTATTATGTTCAGTTGGTTGTAAAATATAAAACAATGTACCAATAATTATAAAGTAGGGGATTCAGTAGTAGGGTTGTCTTATTTTATTTGATTGAAAAAAAAAATAAAAATGTTTGAAAATACATTTTTCTAGAAATATTATTAAAAAATTCTCTAAATATTTTATTTAATATTATTTATTAAGAACAGGCACCAATAATATTTTTAAATCACTTGAATGCATTTTTGTAATCAATATTGATAACTGTTTTACAAGTTACAGAATTAAATATACTAAATAGATAATTTAGAGTTGGTTTATTTCAGGTATTATTTAAAATTACTTAACAAAGTTAGTTTGTAAACATAATATCTAAAATTTGTATTTTCTTATTTTTTTAATTTTGAAAATAATATAGAATATTGGTGGATAGAGTAGATTGACATTGTTTATTTGTTTATAGGTAAATTAGCCCATTCAGATTTAGATACCAGAGCATTGGATGCTTTAAAAGAATTCCCTGTAAACGCAGCTCTTGGAGTTCTTTCTCAATTTCTTGACAGCAATTTATTGCACGTATCTAATAAGTCTGCATATCTGTGCGGAGTAATGAAAACTTATCGTCAAAAAACAAGAATTACTCCCCAAGAACCATTTGTTCAACCACCTAAAGGACCAGAATTTGATAAAGTTAAAGTAAATTTTTAAAATTAATTTTGTTATAAGTACCTAATTATACTTGAAATTTATTTTTAATATTTAGGAAATATTAAATCGGACTAACTACAAGTTTGATGTGACTACTGGTCAACGGAAGTATGGTCCACCACCAGACTGGAACGACCCAAAACCTACTGCTGGTTGTGAGGTAAATATTAATATTTAATTTAGGAATTCAAATATTGACATGTGTTAAAATTGAATTAAATCATAACTAGGTTTTTTGCGGAAAATTGCCTAATACAGTGTTTGAAGATGAACTAATTCCACTGTTTGAGAAGTGTGGTAAAATCTATGATTTGAGATTAATGATGGACCCACTATCTGGGACCAATCGTGGATATGCATTTGTTACTTACACTACTAAGGAAGAAGCCGAACGGGCCACTATAGAAGTAATTATTATTTTAATAGAGTTATGTTGAATATATTATTAAACAATTGACTAACTACAAATTTTGTATTGCAGCTTGATAGTTATGAAATAAAACCTGGGAAAAATATTAAAGTTAATATTAGTGTACCCAATCTTCGTCTTTTTATAGGAAACATTCCTAAATCTAAAGGAAAAGAAGATATAATGGAGGAATTTGGAAAAATAACAAGTAATTTGTATTCATATTATTAATTTTTTATCGCCTTCATCATCATCCTAAATATTTGGGTTCGGTCACATCATTTATTTTTTATATAATAATGTTATTATTGTTTAGGTGGGCTTACAGAAGTCATTATTTATAGTTCTCCCGACGACCGCAGGAAGAATCGTGGATTTTGTTTTTTAGAATATGATTCTCATAAAGCTGCGTCAGTTGCAAAAAGACGTTTAAGTGCTCCAAATTACAAAGTATGGGGCTGTGATATTATTGTAGACTGGGCTGATCCACAAGAAGAGCCTGATGATGAAACTATGTCAAAAGTAAATATTTAATTGTTGTATTTTAAATTTTAAACAAATTTCATTATTCTTATAAAAAAAAAAAAAAAAAAAAATGATTGTTTTAGGTTAAAGTGTTGTATGTTAGAAATTTAACACAAGAAGTAACAGAAAACCGTCTTAAAGAAACTTTTGAAGCTTATGGTTCTGTGGAGAGAGTGAAGAAAATTAAAAATTATGCATTTATTCATTTCAATGATAGAAATTGTGCTCTTAAGGTACAGAAAGTATTAAATTATATATTTGTATGAGGACAAACAAGGCATGTTTACTGTAATTTGCATAGTTAAAACTAAGCGTTTTCTGATTTGTGTATTATTACATAGTAGACAATTATTTTTTTCATTTTGCATAATTTCATGTTTATCTCAATTTGTTTTAATAATTAATTTTTATACTTAAAATTTATACAAATTATAATTTTACATCATTTAAATTTTTGTATCTAATCTTCATGTAATTGCTAATTTTTTATTGGAAGTTATTTGTTTTTATCTGTGATTTTGTAAACACCATGCTAAGCTTGTGTTAGTTAATATTAATTTTGATTTAATTTGTTTAGTTTATATAACTTTAATTTTTTGTAGGCATTGGCTGAGCTAAATGGAAGTAATTTAGATGGAGCTACTCTGGAAGTATCTTTAGCGAAACCTCCGTCAGATAAGAAAAAGAAAGAAGAAATTTTGAGAGCTAGAGAACGCCGTATGTTTACTAATATGCAAGGCCGTGCTTTTGGGTAGTTAAATATTTAATAGTATTCATTTTTATTAAACCAGAAGAATATTTTGAATAATAATTACTTAGGTTTTAATTTATAATTTCTTAGAATATAATGAAAATCTCTTGTATGATTAATTAGTCTATTGACTGTGTAAGCAGTGCACATATTTTGATTCTGCATCGAGTTATTATAATATAATTTCAAATGGATGTGTGTAATAAGATTTGTTCCTTGGTTGGGTTAGGTAAGGTTATAGCAAGCAAAGTATTTGTAAAATTATAGTTTTTGTTTTTTTTCTTGTGTGAATTCCTAAAGAATTTAAACTACTTAAAAGCCCTGTATCAAAAACCCAACTAACTTACTCAGCTGCTTGCACTTTTAGAGCGATGCAAATTTAAATATCATACAAACTGTCCAGGAAATCATAATATATTTATGTAAATTTTTTCTAAATTATTTTTTGAACTCTGTTTATTTTAATATTAAAATTTAGTTACATGTACATAAAATAATCAAAACTAAGGTATTAGAGAACACGTTGTTTATTAATTTGTATTTTAGGTATTGCCATAAAATTAGAATGTAGTGTTACATTTTTGCTGTAGTTGATACATGATAAAAAATGACTACAAATTTAAAAGTTTTAAATACTAAATTAACATAATACAATTATTTAGTACAATTTCATAACATAAGATTTATAATGCAAAGATTATGGTGCAATTTTGAATATCTACTCAGATATACACTAATGAGTAATGAGTAATAAATGACAAATAAATAAATAAATAATGTCAATAAACAATAAATGACAAATAAATAAACAGATGTTTATTAACTACAAATTTCTTCTACTTAAAAATTGTCTAGGTATTTTATACCATTTTGAACAAATTAAAATATTCTTTAGTTTATTAATATTCGTGTGGATTTCCAGTATTTTTACTATTTGTGTAATATATTTTAGGTTGATGCCTCAACCATTATCATTAATGGGTGCTCCTAGACCAGGTTATCGTGCTGTTTCGAATAATTTACGTATGGCTGGTCGAGGTGATTTTGGTGAGTTGTGTATTGTATTGTATTACTACTTTTAATATTATAACTACATAATTTTTATTTTAAATATTTTATTTGTTTATTGATAACAGTATTGGGATTGGTCTGAGGTAATAACATAATTATGATGCATGCACATTAATGTTTGTACGTTATAGTTACACTATTATTTTTTTTTAGTCTTGTTCGTAATTTTGTAATTTGTGTTGATACAATGTACCTACCTTTAAATATAGTTGATAAAAATGTACATTATTTATCAGTATTTAAATCTGAATTAAAAATATATAAAAACCAATTAATATATACACATAATAACACAAAGATCTGATACATGAAATAACTTATATTCTGTTCAACATTTTAAAGTTGTTTTTTCTTGTGATAATTTCTCAAACATTCCTTATTATTCTCTATTTTATTAAATTTAAAAAAAACAATTTTTTACATAATCCAAGATGACCATTTTATAAATATATATTTGAAACAAAACTCGTGTCAAATATTTACTAATATTTACAAATGACTAAATCATTAAGTTTATAAAATTTGTTGGAAGATAACAAAAACTTTTAACAAAATTATTTTTTATTTACAAATTGAGTAATTGATTGATATTATTTAATAGTGGCAATGAAAATTAAAATAATGTATATTTCACAAAATTGTAGATAATTAATGATTCATCATTCATAAATATTTTCTGTACCTAAGTTTTATTTCAAATATATATATAAAATGGTTGTCTTGGATTTTGTAAAAGCGATTTTCTCAAAAATTTGTATTTTTAGTTTTATAAAAAATATAAAATTGAGTAATTATGGTGCAAAGCTCTATTATAAGAAAAGAAAATTACAAAAATATTTCAACAGAACAAACAATTTTTCAAATATCAAATCTCTGTGTTACAGTCTGTGTATTTACTTATATTAAGTGCATCAAAAGATAATTAAATATTTTCATAAAATTTAATGTTTGAAAATTAATTATTTCATATAATGATATTACAATTTTCTAATTAGAATTATGCAACTGTGCAATGTTCATATTGTATTCTGTTAAATCTTACTTTTTTAAAAATGCTGAAATTGAATGGAATATTATTGACAAAATAATGTACTTTAACAGATTTTACTGGTATGAAATGTTACATCTATTTAAAAATATTTAGTGTCATTGTTAGATATTTTGTTAGGTTAGGTTTGTACAAACAAAAAAATAATATTTCAGCCATAAAGTTATTCAAAATTGTCAATAAATATAATCTTTGTATAATTTGTTTACATTTCCATCATTTAATCACATTGAACTTTTTTAAAAACTAAAAATTCAAACTAAATTGATTAAAATAAAATTTCTCCTTCTTATTTTAGATTCTGAGTGGAGCGAAGACACTTATAGTTTTACAAAGATGTTAGTTTTTTATTTGTGCACAACTTTTCTACCAAACGACTTGCTCAAATTTCTATGTTTAACACCTTTTCTGAAAGGAAATCGATGTATGGAGGTACTTTAAAGAGGTTATTTTTCAATTTTCTATATAGTTTTCTCATCAAATTTGAAAAACTGCGATGAAACATAGGAAAACTGGGAAAATCTTAGACAAACTGAGAAAATTGGTACGACATTAAACAAATTTTATTAAAGAAACTATAAAGTCTATTTCATTATTTTACTATAAAATGACATATATTGTTCACAAAGCATCACCATCAACTGAACTCCGCTGAGAACCCGTTTTCATAAGCAATGGTTTATTGTTGCTTATAGATATACATTAAATTCCTGTCTATATTCTACCTTCCTAACTTCCCACCTACATCAGTGGCTGCACCCGTTTTCATTATCTTATCTTTTTTTTCTTTAAATTGAAGAAAATTAATGAAGTCTTCTCATTTGATAGTTTCAATAAATAAGTGGAAAAAAAAACTTGTATTTGTGATACTATCTTCTGGTGTACTCCATTATTTTTTTTTGCATGTTATTCTTGTTACACTGTGTCCAGAATATAATTTGATTTGATCTGTGTTTACTTTTCTTCCAACTATCATTTTATGTGACTACTATTGCACTAACTATGTTTATTTGTATATATACATTGACAAGATTAATTTTTCTAAGATACTTAACAATATGTGTTTTATCACTATCTAAAGGCATACATTCTTATCTATAGAAAAGATGTTCTATATCTATTTTAAAATTTAAAAATATGATAATAAATATCATATTTTTATTGATAATAATAAAAAACATTGTACAGTAATCCCTTGTTAATCGCAGTTTCGATTATCCATAATTGAGTTGAATATAAAATTCTTATAAATGTAGTAATTTAAACCTTTTAAATTGTCTTCTTTCAACCTAAAATTGTATATAGTTTCGTTATTCACACAAATTGTCTGGAACAGAATTTTTTTTAATCTTATACGATAATACCCTTTTAAAATATCCATCTAAGTTAAATTACTAACAGATTTATGATTATGTTGTAGAATATTCAGTATTATATTTTTTTTTTTGTGCATTTGTGTTTTTATTAGATCATATTAATTTTTTATTTATAATTTATAATTTTTAGTAGTTAAATATTTAAAGTTTTGTGTTTTATATTAATTAATAATTTCAAATTATTAATTTATTAATTTGTATTATATTTAAGTTTGTATTTAGATCACATAAAAAAAAAAAATCATTAAGAATTCTTTTGTTGACTTTGTTTTAGTGTTAAAAACTTAATATAATTAACAATTATAACCATAATATGGTTTTTTTTATGTTATTTAAGATGTTTAGTATTTTAGTAAATTATTGTTTAGATTGGCCATGGGGATTTACCTCATGGATGTGGAATGCAGGCCGTTGGGATGGTGGAGCTCCCGGTCCTTGGGTAGCACCACCTGGAAATAGACAATGGCATGGAGTTGCACCGAATAATCGGTCATGGGGAAATGGAAGTGGTGGCCGAGTCGGCGCAACTGGAAATAGTGGCGGCGCTTCAAACCATGGGAAGTTTACAAGATAAACAAGGCAAGTTTTAGAAAATTAAACTGAATAAATATTAATATAACTTAAATATTAGTTATTTATTTTGAAAACGCTCAAACATGCTTATGCTCGGACATACTTATAATATAAATTAAAAATTCACGATAATAATAACTATTATAGTTAATTTATTTTGTATTTTCAGGCGAAAAGAGGTCTGATAAAAGTCTCCAGAAAGAGGGGGGTCAGCGCAATCGGACCCACAACAGCCACAGGCGTAAAGACGTTGGCACAGCGCGACTGGATGGTGCGAGAGCGAAAGCGCTGTACACTTGATGTCGGCGACTCTGATCGCAAATGGTAGTTCTAAATTATTTTAGTGCTTACCATTACTATCTCAATTTCTCGCTCATGTTACCTAATTTCATTGTTATTTAGATATATTTTTTTTTTATTATTATTACTTCCATCTTGTCTTTCGATTCATATTATATCTTTATCAGAAAGCTATGAGCTGTGTTAAAAATTGTTTTATTTTAGTTAAAAAAAATTCATACTAACGACTTTTTAAAATTTTTGTTATTATTTCTTAATTTTTTTATCTTGTTAATTGGACAAAATTTATTATTTAAAACATTTACCAAAATTTCTCCCCCTATTTCTGGAGGCGTATATTATATTGTTTAGGGGGACTAACAAATTTGAAATGCAAGTTTTCACTAAACATTATTTGATTTCTTTTCGTATTCAGTCAAAAACAACTAGACTCGTGTATTATAATTTTTTTTTATATGTATAATTTTTTAAGAGACTATACCTCAATTTTCTTTACTATAATTACTGCCCATATAATATACATAATTTAATTTATATAATTTAATTTTTTTAAATTACGCTTTGCTTGACAATCCATACATTCAATATACAATAGCTTAAAATTAATTGCCACATTTTTACATTATTGACATATTAGTACCTATTTGACGCTTTATAATAATTATACTCATGTAATATTTTTTTTTCTTTTTATTTGTGTAAAAACAGATTTTTCTTTAGCAGTTTTGTCCTTAAAAAATGTTATTATTATTTTTTATCATTATACTAGTACCTACTCGTAAAACAATAAATAGAAAATAATGTTTTAAAAATAAATGAATAACGATTGTTTTCTATTTGGCAGAACTCCTTGAATCTCCTCCAAGGTCCAATAATAATAATATAACTGTGCAAATCAATTATCAATAATACATTTATATTATAACCATTTTAGGTTTGTATTCCTAATTAGTGTCGTCCCGATTTCGATTTGCCCTCGTAAAATTGTATTTTATTTATTTAAACCGTCATCGTGCAATAATTTACAAGGTAACATAATATTAGTCTAACGAAAAAATTGACAAACGCGTGAAAAGTAGAAGGAAATTGTGGCGCCGCCGTATCTATTATTCGGATAATCGTCGTGAACTTTGTTTGGGCGCGCGGAGGACGTGAAAATCCTTTACCGCGATTCGGTGTATTAATAGTTTTTAATCCGGTCGATGATCGGTCGACCGTAAACGGCAGTTTTCCCGCTATTTAAAGCAATTTTCCCGGGATCTCCGCCGTAGACACCGGCCGGCAAGCGTACCGATCATGACGTCGTCGGTTGCGAGTTTGAACGCGGTCGCGCTCCTGTGGTACGTACTCCGCGTGTTATCACCGTGGTTAATATTCGTTTTAATAATATTTGATCAGTAGTCCGTCGACCGTCTACGATTGCGAGTACGCTCGTCGCGGACCGGTTGTAATTTTAATATATTTATTTTTTTTTTTTTCTCTCAGCTGGACGGCCATGGCGTGCGCCGTGAATTACAACGGCGCGTCGATCAGGGAACTGGCCGACAGCGTGATGGTACACGGCGAAGGTCCGTTTTGGGACTCCGAGAACAACGTTTTGTATTTCGTCGACATTTCCGAACAGCGCGTTTACAGATATTTCCAAAACCGTCTGGAACACGTCCAACTAGGTAGGCATCGAAAACAACTTATCCCTAAACGATGACCTACGGTGTGTCCATTATAATATTCCGAATACTGCAATATTATCAGACGCGAATTGTAACGGCCGCGTGTTTTGATTTGTTTTGTCTGTTTGTCCCGCCAGACGAAAGCGTGAGTTTTGTCGTCCCGGTGGCCGGACAACAAGGTCTGTTCGTCATCGGACTGGGCACCACGTTGGCCAGTCTCCGGTGGAATCTCAACGAGAGCACGCACAAGGTCGTCGGGTTGGCCGCAGTCGACGGCGACAAACCCGGTAACCGGTGGAACGACGCAAAAGCCGACAACAACGGTTATTTGTGGGCCGGTAAATAATAATTATTTTAAAACGGATTTATTGCTACAACAATTGCATTCAGGTAGGTATCGGTTTTTCTCCATGATACCATTGTACGGGCGCGGGGAACGCGGTAAAAAAAACAATTCGTACAGAAGTAGCTGTGTAGCGCATTATTCCCGCGTCGTACAGCCGTCGGTCGATTAGGTAGGTATCCCGCGAGCGGCAGATTCGCAATTTTAACAATGGTATTTATTTTTCTTTGTTGTGGAGGGAGGACGCGACAATTCCAGTGAAATTCCACAACGTGGCCGACAGTTCCGTTCGGATGTTTGTTGATCAGAGTTTTTAAATACCCGGGACATTCAAACGGTTAACAGATACCTGCCGCAGTGCTCCGCACGGTGCACAGTATTGGGGACCGGACTGACAATTTTAACGGAGGACCGAGAATTCGGATCGAACCGTTTGCCAATTTGTTTTCGTCGTGAGAACTACTAATGCCCGACGCCCGATATCGTCTTGTCCCTGTCGCACGTTGATTTCTATTTTCCGCGTTCGTTCGGTAAAACCAAAAAGATAACGAACCCGAATTCTACGCGAACGGTGCGGTGCGGCGGCTGTAAATATTTTTCGATAATAATTGTGGTTAAGAATATCGATTGGCATCGACATAGATAAGAACAATCGATTACATTCTGAGAATCCAGGAACCTTGGACCGCTCTGATGTCTACACAAAGCACATAAAAAACGGCACTGCGATAAAATATCGATTCCCGTAAAAATTACGTATTAAACAACAATAACCTATAAATAACGTTTTTAAAATTTAGGTTCATTGTTCGATAGATTTTTATTTAAGGAGAAAATAACAATTCAAGTTGAAAGTTGGCCACTTTTCCGGTTTGTAAACAACGTTCAAAACTGTTCACGTCGTATTATGAAAATGGCCGAATTTTCGGCCGGCGGTCTTTTATTGGAACGATTTCTTTCTAACGGTTTTCACAAACGTTCCAAAAAAACTGTCAACAATAATGACGTTATAAGCCTTGGTTTTATTTTGGTCGATTTCTGGCTACAACATTGGTTATAATGGGAATAAAACCAATGTTATCACTATAACAGCCGTTTTCCTAGCACCGTTCAGAATCGTCTTTTGAATCCAGCGATTGTTGTCGAACGACATCGAATGTTGTCTTTGGTATACACTTTATCACCTTGTATCGTATATACCTTTCGATAAATCATTCGAAAAAAAAAATAGTTATAGGTAGTGGGGAAGATAGGATACATTAAGTTATTTTATTTATACTTGAAACCAACGATAAACCATTGCTAAAGAAAAACGATTCGGAATGAAGTTCGGTTATACATGTTTTGATAGGTCGTAATATTTACGATTATCATCAAAATTTGATATTGAGATTCTTTTATAAAAAAATACTACTACATAAAGCTCAATTTTTTTTTTTTACCAGAAAGTACGACCTTTAAGGGCCCTCCTTAAATGTTCACAAATTTCTATTATGTCTATCAATTTTTTCCACATATTACCTACCAAATAGAAATTACAGTACGAAACTCGTGAAATTTAAATGTCTATATATAGCTCAAAAATGGCTTAAATGTTTTGAAAATTTTACCTCGTCTAGATAAGCAAATATAAGTTTTCTTTCAATATTTCAAGTCCGCTAATATTTATAACTGAATTATATTAAAAAAATAAAATTTAAAATGATAAAATAATTATTTTCGTAAATTTTCCGTTCTTTCTATGTATATTTCGATTTTGTGAATAGTCTGTAGTGTTCGGAGTTTTTCACCTAATACTTATATGAGCAGAAATGTTAGAAAAAATTGTTTTATCTTCTCCGCCACCTACTTTGCAGGTACAATGGGATTCGAGGACGCCGCCGGGAATATACCTCCGGGCCGCGGTACCCTGTACAAGTTGAACGATACCGGGTGTTTCCAAAATCTCGAACCCACGTTGCCCGGCGTTTCTGTCTCTAACGGGCTCGCCTGGAACGAAGACGGCACCAGAATGTATTACATCGATTCGCCGACCAAGCAAATAGCGCTTTTCGACTACGATCAAGCAACGGCTTCTATTTGTAAGTAATTTTTTATTCTCTTGTGATTTTCTTATTCTGTTTAAGCATTTATCGTTCCGTTTTCTATATAACATATACGTTTGATGTGATATTTTAACAGCGAATCGCAGAACGTTTTACGATTTCAAGACCGACAATATACCGGGCGTTCCGGACGGCATGACAATAGACGCGTTCGGTAATCTCTGGATCGCCAATTACGGCGGCGCTCAGGTAATTAAACCGTCAACGTATACATTTTTTTTTTCGGTAATATTCGTAAGTTTGTGCGCTGAAAACATAATGTACAGATGCGCTGCAAAAATATCTAGAAAACTTTGAAATATGCAAAATTGTATACACAATATACTACGAAAATTAAAATTTCGTAGAAGTACATGTACCTACAGAGTCTTGGGGTCGCCTTGAACCGAAATTCTATATTATAATGTTGCCTAGATACAGTAGAAAGCGTTTAATATGTGACATGGCAAGATGTGCGGTGCACGGAATTACGTGCCTTCGTGACAATTGATGACCGTGACATTTACTATAGGTATTGCACGTGAGCGGTTCCAGCGCAAAGTTATTGGGCAAGTTGAAAGTCCCCGCCCAAAAAGTTTCGTCGGTTACGTTCGGCGGGCCTCAGTTGGACAAACTGTACATCACGACGCTCAGACGTGGCGTGACGCCAGAGGAATTCAATGAATATCCAATGTCTGGAAAGGTTCTGGAAGTGTCCGGTCTTGGGGTCCAAGGTACGCCGAATCGTCGAGTTCGTGAAAAATGTTTCCGGCTGTTGTGAAACTGTATGCGATAACTAATAAAATTCCTATAGGTGTTTTTTTTTTCTATGTATCTATTATAGGCATTTTTGTACTCTTAAAGGTATTTTTCGTGTTAAATCAATTTCTATAGAAATTAAAATTGATCTATGCTATAATGGGGGGGAACCGCCGATGTTATTTCGATTTCTTTTGTGATCGTTCTGATATGTTATCAATACAAAATTGTTGTTTTTATTATATTACTGATAAATGATAACAACACAAATATAAGTCATGAATAATGAATAATTGACTGCATAGTATTTTAACCTTGATCCATTTACCATAGAAACACACCTCCTAGGTATTCCATGGGAACTAGGGGAACCTAAGGGCTGTCGGTATTAAATTTATAGCTAATCCTATCCATTTAATTGGAACAGTTAGTTGGGTATTCCTATATTCAGGGCCGGGCATAATAATAACAAATAAAGCATCATAAAACATGGTACAATTGTAATACATTGAAATATTTTAATATCTGTAATAAACAACCAAACGTGACGTAACACAATTATTAGTTCTATAATAGTACATATACATATACATTGTATAAGTTGGTACTGCTTTAGTTGACCCCCCCCCCGCCAAAAAAGTATTCCCGTTCGGGTTTAGTTGACGGTCGCCATCTCTTGTGTTTTAATATGTATAAAAACGGTATGAAAACTATTTAAATCATCTATCATACTGTATTAATTATAGATTATATATTTAAATTAAAAATTCCCCAACCATAAATGAAGTGAACAATAGTTGGTATCTTTACCTTAGCACTTTGTATCCAATTATTGGTCTTTACACTTTTTTTTTTGCTCGATACGATCCTAAAAATTTTTTCGCCACAGATCCCATTGTACATCTAAAATCATTTTGTGTCCGCTGTCACAATTACTAGTTTTATGAATAATATTTCCGTTTTGCAAACAAATTATTGACAATGAATTATCGTCCATGTTACTAAAAATTTTGTCGGCAATTCGTGTTTTTTTGTTTTATTACTACGGTATTTTCAAAATATTTCATACATATATATAAATGTATCAATAATGACGACGAGCAAATAACTGAGGTAGATACTATTATAGATACATAATATTATATACGGTACCTGTTGTTATACCTAAAATGAAAGATATAAGTATCTTTCATTTTACTACACGGATTTTACCAAACATTATTCTTAAAATATCTAATAAGTGAATTTCACACTTAAACAGTGAATTTCACATATTAAAATTGACCTGAGTAACTGATCTCCTAAGGTGGTTATAAAAATAGCTGGTAAGATTCTAAGATTCTAACATTTTAATTAAAATTGATTGCACATTCATCGTTCTTAGTACTGAAAAAGTACTATAAGTTTTTTTTGAAATCGCCGAACATGGAACACGCTTTGTCAAAGATGTACGTATACGGTATACATTATTATAGGTGAACGTATATCTTTTTTTATTTTCAATTTCGTCAAGCGAAATGCATTAAAAAGATCATCTACTCGTAACAATTCCTTTTGTGTATAAAGTTTATTGGAGGATAATTAAAAAAAAAAAAAAACGACTAAAGTATAATATTTATGAAGTAGTTCAATGTGCACTTAAACAACAAAATCAACACATCAAGTATTTTTATTTAACAACTTTTAATGACCGCATCATGCATGTAGGTACAATACATCAACACGGAACGCGTACATCGAACAACGGTATAACACAACAACGGAACTAGACGTAAATTAGAATAGTAACAATATGACAACATGTTGATTGACGCCAACATGACACTCGTTACCATAACTGTATTTTTGTATTATAATATAGGAAATTGAACCTTGAACGAAACGTCTTAGCGGAAATGTATGCACTTTAGCCTGTCATCAGTATGCCGGCGAAATCATTTTCGAGTTGCAGTGCCGAAGTAAATTGTAAGACGTCGGTTCGGAAAACTTACGAAAATATACAAAAATATTATCCATATAAGTTTAGAAAAATATTATTTGACTAGTATAGAATATAGACTAACTTTCTCAGTTGCTGTAGTTAGTACTTGTTGACCGTCAGTTTTAATAAGATCGCTAATTTTTTATATTTTCTTTTGGTCTTACACGTCTTTTGAGACCATCATAGTGGTATTTGTTGTCTTCGTCTTTCAAATCGATTATACAACAAAATTATATTCATGTAAAATAAACGAAAAGGCATTTAAAATTGGTTTTATACTTATTATAAAATTGTGTAGCTGACAGTAATTTGAAGTCAACCTTGTAGGCGTTTTATAACATTCTAAGTAGTCAACTTATTATTGAGGGTATAAAAAATTGTATTTTCCACTTTTTTTTTTTTTTTATAGGGTAGAGTCGCTACTTATGCCCATCTTAAGAAATTTTTTCTATTCATATTTGAATTCATGTTTATTGAAAAAATGCAACCATAAATACATTATAAGTTTGCCAATAGGTACATAGTTTGAATTTTAGAGTCTTTAAAACATTATAGATTGAAAAATTAGTATTCATATTTTAAAGTTGTATTTTCCTGTTCCTATAATGCTATATATATTTTGGAATAATTGATATCACTCAGTAAATAAATTAATGTAGATTAATAACCACATGCAATGTCAAATTACAAACTTACAAGTATCAACGAAAAAAATAATGGCCAAAGTAGGAATACTGGCCATAGGTGGTACTCAACCCTACGAGTAATTATATCATAAAAAACTGTAAAGTAGTATTCGAAATGTAGTCATTTGCAAATTTTATTATAGATGTTTTATCTCTTAGGTCGATTTTAAGGGTCTTAGTTTGTTTTACGTGCACATATTTTTGCTATAAAAAAGACAGAGACTCTATATTGACTAACGTTTTTATACGATTCGCGGTTGGAACCTTTTCTTATGATTTCGGTTCTATTTTATATAATACATTTTTAAGGTAGGTATAGGTAGTTACTATAAAAGTGTAAGTTTAAAAGGACTGAGTATAAGTACATGTACAACTTTTGGAAGATGTTTTCTTTTTCAATACCTATTCAATCGGAACTTTTAAAGTATATAAATTGCGTAAACTATTACATCGGGTTTAATGCTCGTTACTTTCGTTAGTAGTAGTTACGTATTAGGATACGTATCTATCTACCAAATGATCAGCCAGATCTTCACAATATGATATTAAAAAGGGTACCTGATACTGCTGATGAATGCAACTCTGTTGTAGGTGAGAAGTTTGGAAGCTAGGATACATTAAGTTATTTAATTTATATATGTAAACAACGATAAACAACTACTACTGAAAAACGATTCTGAGCGAAGTTTATACATTATTCGAAGGCCGTAATATTTAAGATTTTTAATGAAATGTTATCTTAAAACACTAAGCAAAATTACTAGATTACCTATATTAAATTTTTTTTGGCCACTAAGTACGACTTACAATGAATCTCCTGTCAAATTTTCAAGTATTTCTGTTCATTCAAGCAATTGTATCCATAGAGGAGTACCAACTTAATATAAATTACTAAATACTAATTACTAAATAATTAATAAATATAAAACTCGCATAATTAAAATGTCTAAAAATATCTCAAAAATGGTTTAAATATTTTGAAGACATAGGTATAAGTTATTAGAGATTAGATTATAAGATTCAAGTTATATAAGATTTCTGACGAAATTTTAAGTTAACGAATATTTTTAAATTAATTACATTAAAAACAAAGTTTAAAATAATAAAAGATTATTGTTCCCATACTTTCTACGTATTTTCGGTTTTGCAAAATTATTTAAAAAAACTATGAAGAAAATCAAAAAACATAAGCCGGTAAAAATTTAAAATAATGAAATCATGCCGTATTTTGAAAAAAATCGTATTTTCGTCCTTTTTGGTTTTTCCTAATTATTATGAAAACTATTTTAGATATAAAAAATTATCTTCTATGTCAGTGGCTATAATATAATATTAAAAAAAATAAAATCTTTTTCTTGTTATTTTTCGATTGAAGCAAGGTCCCATTTTGTATAGGTCAATTTGGCAGTTAGCAGTGAATCGTCAAAAACTAATTGTTATAAGCGGATGGTGAGATTCTGTAGCCAATCTAGTGTTTCCTGTTCGCCCTTATGTATCCCTGCTATTTCTTCGCTAAACAATGTTACAGGGCACTTCTCAACATTATGCCTTATATTTTGGTCCTGTCCGCAGCTGTAGAGAGGTGAGTCCATCATTCTCTACTTATGCAATAAGTAGTTGCACTTCCCCAATCCGGTTCTTGTGCGGTTTAGGGTTGTCCACATGGCACGAAGGAATTAAAATCCTGGGACTGATAGGGTTGGATCACTTATGAGATGAATATCAGGTACCATTCCATCCTTCCAATGTGTACTCCATAAATCTTCTATTGTGTTCGTATTATTTCTAATAAAAAGACAAAGACGAGTTGAAAACTCGTAATATCATCAGCAAACTGGTCGGGATAAACTGTGGATGTAAGGGCTTCTACGAATTTCTGCCATGGTTTTAGTTAATAGCGTCGCGGAATACTGCATCCCAGTGTGGGCGAGAAGTATACGCATTAAAAAGGTCGATTCACAGCTTAATCGAACTATGAGGATAATTTATTAATATCTGGATGCGTTCAATCAACTAAACAGCAGTGGCTATCTGTACCTTACGAACATAGTCCCACCAGAAATTCTTAGACACGCAGCAATGATAAAAATGTTCCAGAAAATACAGAACTTACCCAGCCACGACGATGTATATAAAGCTTCAATTAAAAAATTGAAATCCAGACGCTAAAACGTTTAAAAAAATTACTACATTACGTTCAGATTTTTTTTTACTATTAAATACAACTTATGATGTACCTTGCATTTAAGCATTTCTGCTCGGCCATAACAATTGTATCGTTACAAAATTAAATAAAAACTTAAAAAAAATTTCAAAAATTTCAACTGTCTAACTTAAATATAAGAATGTTAGATAATTTACTACGTCTAGAAAGGGCTGATAGCATAGGGTTCTGAGAAAATGTTCAGGTCTATGATCATTTTTAACAGCAAAAAAACAGAATGGAAAATAATGAAACCGTGTTATTGGCTTATTGTCGTGAAATTCCCGTTCTTCCCGTTTTTTTTTTCCAATACTAAGAAAACTACATGTAAAGTGACCTGTTCAATGCGCCAATTAGATTAAATTTGATTTTAGAAAACATGTGAAATACTCGATGATCGGAGTAAAATTTCTGGTAATAAAAAGTTGTTCGTAGACAGAAAAAAAAATACACATTTACAATACGGCTATCGTTATGCTCCGATCTTATAATAATAACACAATGAACGAAATGCACCAAATTATTTATCTTTATTATTATGTATAATATGTTTCTGCATTATAATTTTGAGTGTTATTACTTACAATTAATTAAGATTCAATTAAATAAACGTTAATCCAATATAAATTAACCTAAAACCATTGCTCCGATTAAAAGAGCTTACTTTTTATAGAGCTGCTTGTTTCTCAAATTATTTAAAAAACAAATTTCGACAAGTTTAATACTTTCCGAGATGAGGAATATCTTATATTAAGTTGATATCTCTGAATAGGGAATTCGAGGCAAATACGCCGTGGCCGAATTAGACATGAAACCAAAATATTTTTATTTTTTTTTTTTTTGAAATCGGTTTATTTAATAAATTTGATTCCGGAAGGTCGTCCGGAAAAATTCTTTCACTTTGTAGTTATAATCCTGCAATAACATACGGGTTTTTTCACTTGTCATGCCCTTTTTGCACGGAAGATTGCACCGGAATCTATGTGTGCAGTCATTCGTTTTATAATTCATATAAAATATAAGCACCCGAGTCTTCATTTTTTTTATTTTTAGATTTATATTTTGTATCTGTAAACAACTTTTCTTTCTGGAATCTTGTTCTGTTCAACGACTTTAAGTGTGGTTTTCAAAAGAAAATTTCGTCTGGTTAGCGCGTTGAAGAAGTTGTTTTTTTTCTTTGTAATTTTCCGAATGATTGGGAAAAACGAAAAAATGTAGTTACGCAATAACCACGGTTTCTGTTGTTATCGATTTTGTTTTTTGTTGTTATTTAGTTAAAAAAGTCGTAAAGTTTTACTGAATACTTCGTAGACATTTTGGACTTTTTTGAAGGTTTATGGAATGCTTGAGGTTTTTTTTCGGTATTATGTGGACACATATCATGGGGATTTATTGACTTATTAAAAATGCTTGAATCCATTTTTTTTAGCGTTTAAAGTTTACATTTTTATGAAAATCATAAAAACACGATTTTTTGCATTTTTTAGTTAATTAATTTATTAGTATGGTTATCTAAGTAGTATCTAACTGTGAATGTAATATATGTAACATGCCTAAATACTAAAAACCAAAAAAGATAGGTGTGTGCCATTGTTTTAGGTTAGCACTTGTGAGGGTAAGATACATAAAGTTATTTAAGTTATATTAGTACTATAAATTATTGCTGACAAAGTATAATTATGAGCAAAGTTCGGTTAAACATGTACTTACCATTGTGTCGGCCTTACACAATGTTGAATTTACCAAGTTCTGTTTGACCGTTAGGTGTTTGGACCTTACGGCCCTCGAGAGAGCTCGGGTATGATCGAGGGGGGTGTAGTCAATATGCACCAAAATTGACCCTAAATATATATATAGCATTTATAATTTGTACCAACATTTTTTAGCTGCACTTGTAATTTTTAGCAAAATTAATACATGCAATTTTCACCATCTCAGGTAGTAAGTAATAAAAATTGTAATTTGCACCAAAGTTCAAATCGATTATTCTGTCGATAGTATCTACGTACAATTTTCGATATTAGAGTATAATATGTTGAGAAGCTAAAAACATAGAATATTCCTTTCGATTTTGAGTGGTTATTTTACTTACCTATTTACACCTTTTTACGATATGTCAGTATTGACTTGAAAACTAACTTATAACAATCATATATGACAGATATATTATATAATATTCTAATAATTGTATTATTTTAGGAAAAAATATAATATAGTATTTTTATGCTGAAAATGAAAATTCGGAAAAACTAAGATTAGTATTTGGTTTAAATAATAAATTATGCGATTACGATGGATAATCGAAAGTTAAATTTTGAAATGATTACCAGATAAGGTGGCGGGTAGTCAGGAACCCCAGAAATAAAATGCAGTAAAACTGTAACAAACTGGGAGAAATGGGTATTCGGGCGAAACGGTGATGGTCATTTTTGGGTGAAACGGGTCCCGCCTCTGACGGTGACTATGAGGACCTGGCAGGGGCTACATGTAAACCCCTATAAAAATTACTTTTTTACCTGTATTTAAAACACAGTGTATACTCCAATATAGTCCCTTTTTACCTGCCAAAAATAGATGGTGTAATCTCCTACACAGACCATTTTACATTTTAGATTCTGAGTGTAGCGAGGTATATATATATTGGTTTTACAATGATGTTTATTTGAGATATTTGTATTTAAATGGGGAAAACGTACGTTTTTACGATTTCATTATTTTAAGTAAACACGCACGTTTTATACCAGAAATAGTTTTTTAATGGAAAAATAATTGAAGAAAAATGAGACATTTTTTGTTGCATTTTGAATAAAGATTCGTAGTAACTTACGAATGTAAAATAAAATTTAGTAAACATCTTAATATAAAGATATCGTATCGTGAATTCTCGGCAATTTCGATAACGTATACGTCATTTCCGTAAATTGGAAACAATCTCTTTACCTTTTATTTTTATAGTTTATGACCAATTTTTATTTATTTTAATAACTGGAAAAAAAATTGTATTATAATATTTTGCTTTTGACTTTTGTAGTTTATGACTGATTTGTACTTATTTTAAAATACCTTACTCTACTTTTTATACTTTTACAACTATCTAGTGTAGGAGTTAACACAATGTAAATGTAGGAGATTACCTATTTTTGTAGAAGTTTACCATCCCCCTTGGTAGGAGCGCTTCGACCGGAGCGAAAAGAGCGGTCTGGACCAGGCGGCTGATCTCCGACCTGGGGTAATAGTCCGATAGAGGGGTGTGGCCGATAACGTTTCATCTGACCCAAGTCTTGGTCGGTCATGGATGTTTCGGATATTATCTTCACCGGACCGGGCGGCTGCCTGATGCGGAGTGCGTTTACTGGGCTGCTGACTATCTTCTAGGAAAGTGAAACCCTGGGAGCATTAGATTTGGTTCTTCTACCAGTTCGTAGTTATACGGTCTTTCATCATTGTTCTATTATTTTGTCTAGCAATTTTAAATGGTACGGTAAGTGCTGGTTATTTACTACTTCCCAGCCAACTAGTTTCTACGATTTTAATCTCATTGGAGATAGATTTTTAGAATTTAAACAGTATATTGGGTACTTTAAGAAATGTTGTTCATTTTTTTGTTTTTTTTGCGGGCATCTTTTGCCTGATATGTAAAAAAGAAATATTAATTGTAAACAACAGTAACCAAAGAAGAGGATTTGATTTTAATGTTACAGAAATAATTTTAATTGCCCGGTTGAGTTGAACATTTATTTATGATGTGTGATAATTGTTTATAGCTTTACCAGAGAACAAAATGTTACAGTGGAGTAAACCATTGCAAGAGAAGCTGTTCTTAAAGTACTAACATTTCTTTAGGGTATTATTTTTCAATTTATAGAAAATTTGAACGGCTCAATTAGAACTATAAAATTGTTCAACAATTTGAGACAGAAAATCTCAGATTTTAGTTCTGAATAATATAATTAAAAATGAACACACAATTTTAAAGTTAAGTTTATCAAAACAGGTTTAACCGAAATTCGATTAGATTCGTTTTTCATTAGCAATCGTTTATTGTTGCATACATGTGTAAATGAAATTACCCTATACTATATCCTATAATTTTCTCAAATGTCTACCTATACAACAATGGCACACCTATAAGCACTAATTATTACTTTTTTTTTCGAATTATAAAAATATCTGAAATACAAACGATTGCAGTCTATCACCATTGTATCTGTTATACTACATATTTTTCCTGCTAATTTTGTTTACTTCTAGCGACTCCCTCTAGAGCCTGGACCAAAGGAGCTCAACTCGGAAACTATAATTGTTTATACACGGATCGAAATGGTAAAAATCGAAAAGTTGTGGATATCAACACAAATTTCACCGTGCAGTTGTTGCCGGTAGAGAGTATTTTTCTAGCTTTGAGCACCCCTATTACCTAACTTACTACTCAAATGATACCAGGGGGGGGGTGACATTTTCTTTATACACGGCGTATATACGGAGTATCGAGGATGTATCTTTTGCGAATTTCAACGTTTAATCCCATTTGTACGCTTAATATTTCTATTGTAATATATTATACTGTTGAATAGGTATATAATACTATCACAAATTATTCACGGGCAGACTGAACCGAGTTGCGTGGAGTTTTTTTTTAAAAATTTTGTATAATTGTGCAACGGCAATGCTATTAAATTTGTCTTGTAATATGAATACGCACAATAATTGCGTTTTAGGAAATCTTATTATATTATAGTCACGGTCACCTGCACTGCTATCGCGTAGCGGATAAATAATTTGAAAATTATTTCAAATTTAACTCGTATACACACCTATTGCGTTTGTGCTTGCAACTGCCACGAAAGACAATAAACCGGTAATAAACGATTGACAACAGTTTTTAAACATTACCGAAATCTGAATATTATATTACGTTAATAATATTTTCGGTACCCGCGAGTATAATATGCCGGAATTTGTTCCCGGTGGAAATACTGATAATATTAGGTCGTTTCATCACGTCGATTAAAAAATAATAATAACATGCACACCTGCAACGGACCGACAAGTCGTTAAACCGCAAACTAATTTTCGTTGCTCGCGACTAGGTCGTATAGTTATCTCGGTATTATTATAAATACCGACGCCGGACGCGTAGTCATGAGTTCAGTCACGATGTCGGCGTTCACGTGTAATGTGCTTTTGAGGTAGATAATCGAACTATTCAAATATCACCAATAAGTATCCGGTCCAAAACCGGATCGCGTGAAAACTGCTAATTTTTTTACATCGCGTATTGGTTTTTATTTTTAGTTTGGTGGCCGCGACGTTTGCTTACGTTAACTACAACGGCATATCGATCCGGCAAGTGGCTGACGACGTGATGGTACACGGCGAGGGACCGTTTTGGGATTCCGAAAATAACGTTTTGTATTTCGTGGACATCGCTCAACGCCGGGTCTATAGGCTTGTCCAAAAAAGTCTGGAATACGTGCAACTAAGTAACGAATTACCGACGAATTATTTTTTATCTCTTTCGATTTAACTTCATTGACGAGTTTCCGGGTTTTTAGACGGAGAAGTCGGGTTCGTGATTCCGGTGGCAGGCCGACAGGGACTGTTCGTAGTCGGGATCGGCACCGAGCTGTCCGGTCTCCGGTGGAATCTCAACGAGACCACTTGCAATGTCATCGGATTGGCCACCGTTGACGCCGAGAAAACCGGTAATCGATGGAACGACGCCAAAGCTGATAACGACGGTCACCTGTGGGCCGGTAAGTATCAACTAATATTATAATCACATTTACACGCATTTGGCAATTAAGTAATTTGTGAAAGTGCCAGCGGCTTCCTGGGGAATGGAGTTTTCCTACTGTTTATTTATTTGTTATTTTTTTTTAGCGTTCCCTCTACTAATCATTTCTATTGGGACGATATATCTCACTTTGCGAATAACGATATTTAAAAAACATGAATTATTATTAATTCGGAAAATTTTATTTTATTTCTTGTATTTATTATTCAGTAATACAGATTCGTATCAATTTACCATTATTATTTTTTCTGTATTGCATTTTTACTTTAGCAGTTTAAGCGTTGCTACCTAATAAAATGTATGCACCTTTAAGAAATATTGAAAATGTTAGTCCATCCACGGGTTAGATTTAGTTTAATTATTGCAAGGGACGTTTATTTTCGTTTAATTCGCATAGTCCCTCTTTTATTCTTTCGATTTGACCGCTGGTGTATATATGGTGGGAGGATGCCGAGGGTCAAATACAGACCCTCGATTTTCTCAATCCCTCTTTTACGAAAGTTATGTACATGTACGCTACTGATAAGTGTAAAAAATAAAACCGCTGTCGCGATTTTCCCGCAGGAACGATGGGATTCGAGGACGCTTCCGGGTACATCCCGCTCGGCAGTGGGACTTTATACAAGCTAAACGACACCACGTGTTTCCAAAACCTGGAACCCGCTCTACCCAACGTCACAGTTTCCAACGGGATGGCCTGGAACAATGACAGCACCCGGATGTACTACACGGATTCGCCGACCCGGCAAATATCCGTGTTCGACTACAATTCCACCGTTGCTTCTATTTGTGCGTATGCCGTTTGTCATCATCATTATAATTTATAATATATACGTTTTTTTTTTTTTTTTATTATGCGTTTATGTATTCCGTAGCGAACCGAAGAGTGTTTTACGATTTCAAGACGGATAACATACCGGGTGTTCCGGACGGCATGACAATAGACACCGACGGAAATTTGTGGATCGCCAATTACAACGGCGGTCAGGTATGTACACGAGTTTAATTGTATACATATATATCAGCTAGGTGGCGGCCATCGTTTGCGCATTGTCTGTTTACCTGTGCCAAAATAACGTACATAATTTGCGCGTCAATATGTCGAACAATGAGTGAAAAAAAAAATAAAAAATAATAATAATAATAGTACAAAATATTAAAAAAGTTACACAACATTTTTTAAATCTAATAATGAATTAATCTACAAAAATGATTTTTAATAACTGAAGGTCAAAACTAAAACTTGAACGCTGTGTTTTAATACGTCTGCGTATTTAATGCGCTTGCGGACATTCGAGCGGTCACAATGTACACGCGAACGACCTATCAGGAGCGTTTAGAGTAGGCCCTGTTCGTAGAGTGGGGGAGAAAAAATAGCAGCTTACTCGTAACATAATAAGATTATGAATTGCGCGTTGTATTTGTTTGAATGCACAGATTGAAACTTGTTTGTTCATGTAATTTCTCCAGAACAACTTCCCCAGTAATAATAGTTTGTAAATTCTGTAATAAACATTTTCTACCTGCACTCTTTTCAATAGACATCAAATATTTAGTTAACATTTGTATTTTATTGTAAACACTCATGCTTTTTTCTATAATCCAGAGGAATTACAAAATCATACTATTCTTAGACATTAGATATTACACGCGTTTCATCTTTATTTTTCTAGTCAGAGAATATAATTGTTTTATTTGAATGCCATTTATAAATTGAATCACAATAGAAAACAATTCATAAATATGTTATACAAATAAGCTAAAATCAGTGTGAAAATGTAAAATATAGGTAGAAAAACTCGGGGAAGCGTCGATTACGGTATCTATAAATTATTACCTACTGCTCATACCTAATATCTATATAATAGTTGTCCGATATATTTGAAACGGAAACGTGTATTGTGTAAAAATTGGAAAACAGGTGTTGCACGTGAGCGGTACCACCGGGAAGTTGTTGGGCAAGTTGAAAATCGCCGCAAAAAAAGTGTCGTCGGTCACGTTCGGTGGGCCCAAGTTGAACAAGCTGTACGTGACGACCATCAGCCGAGGAGTGACCGCGGAAAAATTCAAAAAATATCCAATGACCGGAAAAGTATTGGAAGTGTCTGGTCTCGGTGTCAGAGGTATGCCGAACCGTCGAGTTCGGAACAAATGTTTTTTGACTATCTAAGTCAATAAGTTATCAGAAAAATTAGTGTTTTTTCTCTTATAAACTGGGTAAAAATCTTGTTTAACATTTAAACTGTAATAAAATCGTATTTGTTTGTTTAGAATGTAAATTTTTTTTATGTATATTTTTTTCATATATGTTGAACGTGATTTATAAGAAAATTTGACATAAATAGTTTTTGGTGATACTATATGTATAAAAATAAAAACGCATTTTGACGAAACTCGTGAAATCATGAAAAATCGTAAATTATTTCGTATGCGAGTTGAAAATTAATACAAATTTTAATTTTAAATTTTGTAAAAAAAAAAAAAATGCTCAACTACGAGCTTGGCTCAGAATCGTATTTTGTCCATAATTTATCGTTGCGTTCAGCCTTCAAATCCGTAATATCCATCGGTAGTATCGGCTCACATTTTTTTTCACTTAAATTATTTTAAACGAAGGTAATTTTCGTGTTCAAATTACTATATTATTATAATAAAGTCGATTATATAAGAATTACGAATAAAAAGACGAGACCATTATAAGTAACTGGAGGCCGGGTGAGACTAATATAATACAGTCACCTGTAGATCAGGTCCCGACAGTACGGAACTATCGTCGAATAACCCAAGGCCTAAACGCGGAGGTACAGTACCTACCTGTAATAATATAATAATTGCATATCATAATATTACAAGGTTTAATTAAGTGAACAGCATCGGCAGTCGAGACATGTTAAACACGATGATAATACATATTATTATCTTCATGAGTTTGGTTCTAAACACATTGTTAAATAATATTCGCGTTCCGGGCACGAGCCCAATGCGAACGATTGCGAAATGGTTTTGTTTTGTATACAAATATAAGAGGGAAAAAAAAAATTAAATTCACGTGACAATATCAACAGTATAGGATAGAAATCCTGTTGGTTGCCGTGCAGCTCGGTATGCAAATTTCATTTGAATATATTTGCATCGTATTATGATATACTACAAATTCAGACCCGTGTGATCCACGGGCGACCCGCGCAAAAGAAAACAAAAAAAAAAAGCTTGTAAGTTTATATCGCGAATTTAAAATTTTAATTAACGACATACGACGGAGAAACTAATCTAAGACCAACGGTGATTAACTGGTTTTTTTTTTACAATGTAATTAGCATATAGATTAAGTTCGAAAACGTGAATTCTATCAAAACAAAAAATAAAATGCATTTTATATGCATTTTAGCAAAAACAGCTGTACAATATTTTTGTGTTTAATCTTATGATCGTCTACAATAATGGCGGATTTATCAGCAGTATCAGCTATTTTTTATTTGTTTTTTTTTTTTTGGTATTCTGTCGGTTTCAATTTATTCATTCTTCTACATGTATTTTAATGTGTAATCCTAATAAGTTATGCTCGTGTCTGTTTGTAAATATAATAATTACATTAAAGTATAAATTAATCTAAACTAAGTCTTTAAGCATCGATCGCGTCCTTGAAAGGGTGTGTCATTTTTTCACATAGAATAAACACAAACATTGTTTTATTCCCACGAAACACGTGCGTACTTCAAATATTTTATCCGATATTGCAGAACATAGGGCGTAGACCCTGTAGAGGCGTGAATTGGCCGTATATCATCCGGAGTAATTGTTTTATGGCCAAATTATATAGATGGGAGGGTAGTGAGAGGGTGTATGTGTAGCTTATTATCATTACATAATGTGTTAACGAAGAAGGTTAATAACAGAAACGTCTATTTGCTTACTTTTCTTGATTTTTTTGGGGTTGGTTTGTATGGGGTTTTTTTTGCAATTATACTGAAACAGCTTCATGGACAAAAAACTTCGCACCAAACGACTTGTATGATACCGAGATACTTAAAAGTTTTACCTTAATTTATTACTTTATACAAATAACAATTTATTAATAAATAATATGTACAATAAAACTTCTTACTTTATTAATGAAAATTTGGATAAAATATTTAATGTGTTAGGTATCTTTCTTGATTTCAAAAAAGCATTTGACTGGGTAAAGTATGACATGTTAATTAAAAAACTGGATTTATGTGGTAAATGCTCTAAATTTAATTAAATCTATTATTTCTTATAGTCCTCAACAAGTTTGTTTAGAAGATATTCTTAGCGATATTCATACAAATAGTTTTTCAGTGCCACAAGGTACTTGGTTTAATATTATTTATTATTTACATAAATGGTCTTTTAAATTTTAACCTTAATGTTGATATTTTTTGTTACGCTGATGATACAGTTATCCCAATAAAAATAATAATTATAATGATCTATTTAAGGAAGCAATTTTTTGTCTTGATTTAATCAAGAAATGGTGTGATAATAGTAATCTTCAGTTAAATTTAAGTAAATCTAAATATGTTGTTTTTAATATTTATAACAATAATAGTATTTATGATTTTAGTACTAACTTTTCTATTTGTACACATTCTTATAGTTGTAAATTATTAAATGTACTTTGCAAATCTATTCATTTAGATAGAGTTTACAATGTGAAATACCTAGGTATAATTTTTGATCATAGTCTTAAATTTGTAGAACATATCTATTCAGTAAATAATGTAATAAAAAAATTATTTTTTAAATTTAAAATACTACGTAATATATTAGACATGAAATCTCTAAGAGTCGTCTTTTTAGCTTTAGCTCAATCTGTCTATTAATATGGTTCCTTGGTATGGGGTAGTACTTATTCTAACCATATTAATGTTTTAAATATTAGTATTAATTCTTTAATTAAAATTATTTTAAATAAACCTAGATTATATTCAACTATTTCATTATATTCTGATCTTAATATTTGAACATTTAACTTGCAATATGAACGTCAAACTTTATTATATATGTTTAAAATTAAATCTATTATTAGTGATTATCAACCATCTTACGCTTATAATACACGATTCAAAATCAATAACAACCTTAATGTACCTTTTAATAAAACCAAATTTGGAAATTATAGCCCTATAATTATAGGGATTTTATTTTTACGTAAAATTAATATAAATGTCTTCTCTTTTACTAATTTTAAGCATTATACAAATCATGTATTTCGTATAAAATAGTTTTTGATTCTGTATTTAATTTAAGTTTTATGTTGTTTGTTTGATCTTATTAACTTTATTTAATTAATGAACTCAACTCACCCGACACAAGCTTCACTTATAAGATGAGTTTGCAACATTATGTTACTTTGTTACTATTTTACTTTATTCTACAATTTTGGCTGTTTCAATATATTATTATTATATTATAGTAAACATTAAACGATACTGCATTTCTATACATAATAACTTCTGCAGTACTTTTAAATGGCTTATTTTATTAAGAAAATGTGTCTCTAATATGGTCCGAGTTATAGTGGACTTGAAAACGGCGGGGACTGTTCTGGGAGGAAATAATGAAAAAAATAGCCAACTGGGACTACGAAACACCTATAGTGATTTTTATAGTGATTTTACAGTGAACTGTACGGATGTCACGTCCCTAATCGTAGGGGGGAGAAATCTAGAAATATGTGGGTCTAAAACTTATACTGCTGCAAGAAGGACAGTGTCCTAAATATAAACCTAAGCCTCGTTACACGAGACTAGGCCTTTAGAGACCTCCATGATACACTCGTTTTATCCTAGTAATGATAAAAAAAAAATTGAATTTACCTAGTTATTAGTACAGTTATAAAATTGCTCTAACTTCTAGAATATTTTTCAAAGATATCTAAATATCTGATAGTACCATAATCTTCAAAACTAAAAAACACATAGTTAAAATGTTTTAAAAGTACGGACTTTTGAAATTTGAAGTTATTTACTTCTTTAATAATGGTTACCGAAAAAGATATTTTCAGTTCTTTTTCTGTACAATTGCACTTTATGTTATTTTTTCCAAATATTTTTTTGTTGAATGAAATGCTTCGATTTTTTTTACGCATTACGTTAAGACGTTCAATTTTTGCCCGGTATTATTTAACTTGGACTAAAGTGCTCTTTACCATTCCCATCACGGATTAAACATTTTTTTTTGAAAAGACTTATTTTTTGGAACTAATTCTGAATAATATGTTTTAGGTATTTCTATTGTGGAGATCATTATTAAAAAAGTTATGGCAAATAACCTTTTCTATGTGAAACTATAGTAATTCGGTGACCTTTTGTGTACTCGTTTCGCATTAAATTCAAATATGTGTTACTAATTGTTAAACTCTTTATAATTTTTCGGAGACTATTATTTTAGCAATTTGTTTAGAAAAATAATTAAGTTATAGTAATTTATTTGCAGATTGTTATATCATACAATTATACATTGTTATATATAATATTTGGATAATACGTGAAACATTACACCCGTAAAAAACGGCACTATTTTTATCGGTTTTTCCTTTTGTTACCTACTTAATAATCTGGGTTTATTTTTGATTGAAAGTCTGACATGATCTCCCAAATGGAAGTGCTCGGAGGCCCAATTTCGTGGGTTAAGGTTTAGGTTTACACTTAGGATACTGTACTCCTTGCAGCAGTATCCGGTTGGAAATTGTACGGTAGATAAGTTAGCAATTAAAAGTTTGTCATTTTTATGGTTGTGCGAGTGTAGTGAGTGAGCTCATGGAGATCGGCCACGGCCTGGTCTTGCATAGGTTGGTTTTTGCCATAACATTTTGAAGAATAGTTATTGTAATACATTTAAAACATTTTCGAAATCAGTGTTAAAAAAATTAAAATATTTTGAAATTCGTGAATGGCGTGGTAAAGTGTGCCTGTTTTAGCTTTTTTTTTTATTGCAATCATTTATCGTTGCCTTTGGTACCTTTGCAGACTAAATAATTAGATACCCTATATCCTATAGATGAACAATTGGGAAACTTTTCACCAATTTTATAGTTACGCGGTTTTATGAATTGAAAAATCATTATTTGTCAAAATATATTATTATTGTCGTTTCGTGTGTAAACTAGGTAGACATTTAATTCCTTTGGCTGTACAAGATTTATCATTTAATTTTTAATTACTTTATCTTACGTTGACAATGTTACCCTTCTCATATCTCGAAATAATTTATAATATATGTTGATAGACAACTTAAATTAAAAAACGTAATTTATAGCGTTCGCAATATTACATAAGAGTGTTATTTCATTGAAATTAGATACGTATAATATCGGAGTAGCAGATTTATTTAAATCCGAGCTAACGTGCAGCTGATTACATAAGAATAACGCAAAAGCCGTATCTTTTTATTTGTACAGGGTGTCCCACGAAAATACGGATATTGCGAAATATTGAAAAATATTAATTATTTTTGGAATTTGTTTTTTGACAATATTCGAAGAAAAAATTAACAAGTAGGTAGGTCTAACATGTTGCATTAACATTATTTTTTTTCACCCTTATTAACCTAATTTAATCTATCTACGTTTGGTTTTCGAATGGCAACCTGTATTAAATATTCCATAAATTGACGGAGTATTAGGTTAAATATATTTTATTGTTTACATTTTTGATGTTCATCAATCCGTTAACTATATATTCACCTTTTAAGTTTGGGTATAGGGAGAGTGGTGGAGCATCATTTGTGTGGTGATATAGCACGTGGCGTTTGAATAGTGTTCCATCACTTTCCTTCTACCCAAACTAAAAGTGGAATAGTTTGTTATCGGAATAACGGAAATCAAAAATTTCAACACAAAAATGTGTTTAAATTCATATTCCGTTTATTTATGGAATTTTGAATATAGGTTGTTATTTTAAAATCAAACGTAGGTAGTCGGTTCACCCCCATAACTAAGTGTAAAAAAAAAATAATAGTAAGGTAACATTTTAGAATTACTTGTTTCTCGAATTGTCAAAAAAGTTAATACGTTTCAAGATGTCACAATGTTTACATTTTCGTGGGGCACCTTGTACTAGGCGCCATTTTTTCAAAACACAAATAAATCCTTTGGTTTCTTTTATCTTTTGTCATATATTGTTTTTGTTTTTATTTTTAACTTAAAATTCAGTAATAGTATTGGCATATTACCCTTTAATAAACTATAAATCTATACTCTTTTGGAACTCTGATAAATGTAAAGAAGAGTAAATTAGGGTAAATGTAAAAATATTAAAATCAATTTTAATAATTTTATTACAGCAATAACATTCTACACCATATATGATTATTTCTCATTGATTTCTAATATTTCAATTATTTTGCGATTCGCCAATGATTTGAGAATTAAAATTTCAACTGTACTTTTAAGTACCCGATTATTTAAAGGAAAAAGGTTTTATTGTTTAAGGATATAGTGTATTTAGGATTTTGTCAAGAAGGGAGATATTGAATTTGAAAATTGTGTCACATTGTATAACGTGTATAAAAAAAAATTACTTTTCAATGCACCAACTATATTCAGAATTCTACAAAAGCTTTCTTGTCGTTTTCAATATTTTTGAAAAAAAAACCCATACAGCAACATGCCACACACACACACACACACACATAATAGTAAAACCCATATCATTGATTTTATTATTATTTATGAATTTAAAATAATAGTAAACTGACAATATAATATACTCGTCTGGATTATAAACCAAATAAAATCTAGAAACAATCTGTCTTATAGGTGTTGGTTACTTATTAATTCTGGATTCGTTGTACACACGTTTTTGGTTTCGAACATACGTTTTTCCAAAGGAATGTTTTGAAAAAATACATTATGCGTTTTTTTTTTATTAATTTCTACTTTCTTACATAATATGCACTGTCAGGAGAATTTAAATTATTATTATTTTTTTTTTTTTTGTTAAAGTATAACTGACGGACACGACAGTATATTTGGCGTGTCCTGTCAACGGCAAGGATATTAAAAAAAAAATGTCGGTTTGATTAAAATATCGGAGGCACAGTGCCCGATGACAATAATAATATCACGAGGATGGACAAAATCAAGAATTTCTATGAAAGAAAAGGCCAAGTTATTTGTTTAACTTTATAATAGTTCTTCATAGTTCATATAATTAATCTTTATACGTTTAAAAGCGTAAAGAAAAATGTTGTCCATATTTTGTTTTTTTATAGGATTGAGATTTTTTTCGTCTCAATTAATTTAATAACTTTGTGATAAACGTATTTACTTTGCACGTCCAGATTGGCGTTCGGGCCGCATTTTAAAATGAATATAAAAAGTATAAGATAAAATGAGACAAATGTTTGTAAATATAATGTATTCAGGGGGTAATGTTGGGTGGTTTTGATAAATTCCAATTTTCTTGTCTGTATTTGGTTCCTATTTCACCTCTGCCCTGTTTATACACGACGATGATTCACGATAGTTATTAACACGGTTGTTAATTTTGTAATTATTACGACAATAACGGTCAACGCGTGAACTAGTTGCTTTAAAATGAAAGTATTAATTGTGATTGACAAAGAAACGCAAACATAATTTTGAGTAATGCAATTAGGTACTTACTATTATATTATTGTTCAGAGTCCTACGAGTCTTAAAACCTAGAAAAAAATGAAATACAAATGACGATAGTCTTTTTTTCGAGACTATATGTATTTAAAAATAATCTTGTTAATCGTATAATTTCGATAATCAAAATAATCAAAATCGTTTAATTAATATATATATATTTAACATAAAACAAATTACAATTCTTGTTCGAGCAAATAGATAACATTGATATTTTAAAGAATTTATACGGAAAATATGATTTCCTAAAACGTGTTACGAAAATATTTTTATTTCATTGTACATTATTACGTCATCATCGAGCCGAGTGCTATATTATAATGGGAAAAAAAAGAAGAAAAATAAGAAAAAAAGGCTTTCAATCTGGTTTATATGAATGCATAGGTAGTCTATTGTTATATTATAAAATTGAACGTGCCAAACTACATTTTATAGATTCCAAACGCACGGAGGATGCAGTTATTGGTTTTATAGTGATGTGTTTTTCATCTACAAAAACACTATTTCGTGCAGTAAAAGGGTAAAATAAGTAAAATAAGTGCTCCGAAAGTTTTATTTCGAAACTCAATGGTACAAATGGTAGGTACCTATATATGCATTTTAGGTTTTTTTCAAAAGTTTTACGGAAAAATATGGAAAACTAAGATGGGGAGAACTATAACCCGTGATACACTGAGTCCTTTTAAAAAATAAATGGTTTCTGTTGTTTTTTAGATTCTGAGAGGAGCGAGAAAAGTATGAGTTTTACTATTACAAGAATGTGTGTTTATTATTTGTTTTGTGCCCGTCAACAACTTTTCTACTTGAAATTTTGTTCTAACTAAAAAAATTATACGAGACATTTTTTATTATATTTTTAATTAAATTGATGTATTGAGTTGGTGTAATCTTTTGATTTTTCAAACGGTTTTCATCATAATTAAAAAAATAACAGGAAAAATACGCAAATTTACGTCATTAATCCAATTCGTTATTTTACATTTTGTTTTTATGCCAGACATCTTTTCGTGTATTTTCAAATTCACGTGTAACATCTTTTCTGAAAGAAAAAATTGTTTTATTGGTATATGAGAAAGAAGCCGTACCACCTATATATGAGCAAATGATTTAAACCTGGTCAAAATAATTACTGAAATGCAATAAAATATAATACTATAGTCAATAATATTTTCTTGGTTATTGAATGTTTATATAAAAACAAAAAAAAAAAAAAAAACAACAAAAAAAGTCTTTTATATCCTATTGTCCACGTGATGACGTTCGTTTCATCTACCATACACGAGTATACGTATAATACGCCTACGCGTATACAACCCAACTCTCTTCGTTTACGTAATCTTGCAAATGGAAACGACAATTCAATTGGAACGAAAATAATGAGTAAATATGTGCTTGAGGGGAGATGGGGGAAACAATACCGGACAATATTACAATATTATAATATACAATACAGTTCTAGGAAATAAAAGAGACAACATCATATGCCTGTGTTTGATGGATATATAATAACAAGTACACTACAGTTACTTACCTATATACCTACGTCATAATATTATATATTTCTATTTTCTTTCTTCGCGATCCCTATATAAATTCCGTACCGCCATGCCAAGTACTCTCATTGAAAAAATGAAGCCATCCGGAGTGTGCTGCAGCAGTATCCTGCTCGTCTGCTATCTGACTATTACGTTCGTAACAGGTAAGCTCTCTCGTCGTCAAACGATCCTAAGATTGGTGAAAAATGTATGCCTTTTGTTTATTTATTTTTGGTAATTTTTGAAATTCCATGCTTTTTAGTATACAGCAGTTAAACTCGTTCGCATACATACTTCATTATCAATTTTTTTCCTTACTCACCACTGCGTAAGTTCTTGGTATTACAAAATTTTTTCTAGAAATATGTGCATTCATTTCTATCGAGTTATTGTAGTTGACCTATATGTAAATTCGTTTACAATAGTTGTAGTTATTGTTAACTGCAACTATTGTATTTGTTATTAATTGAAAAGTCAATACAAACTTTATAATTTCATACGCGCAGACTTTAAATGATTTAGAAACGTTTAAGTAAAAAAATAAATTTAAATTTTAGTAGTCATTTTAATTTCTAGTAAATACGTTGTTATAATATTCTATGGCGTTTTGATTGGAAATAGTTTTGTTTTCTGCATTATTTTAAGTAATTTCTATTGGATTTTTTAAATAGAAACAAAAAAAATTAGAAGTACGTTGTTCTTGTGTAATTGATTATTTGGATTATACTATTGTGTTTTTATAATAGGTCGTTTCTAACATGAAACCAATAGCTACTGACATTTTCTTCACGAATATTTTTGCTGAATTTACTATTTTATAGTTCTCCTCTTCAGCATGTGCAGCTATTCACAGTGGCCTTGACCATCATCTCACTTAATAACACTATAGTGATATTATCACCCGCGTGTGCATTACAAGCGTCAATTGTCCAAGTGTGTCATTCTCAATTATGTATTTTGCGTCCATATTTTCTCTAAACTTCAGAAAACTATCATGTACGTCACTCGGATGAGTCTTAAATTGAATTACGACGTTCGTACGTAATAATAACATTAGTTTTGTCATATCGTGATATCATTAAAATCGATATTTACAATTTATACATATTGTGCATTATAGATTTTTTTTTTTTGTCAAGGACATGTAATACAATATTATGTACATCATCGTTCAGGGTCCTATCAATATTGTTAGATATAAATAATTTCCACCGCTGTGTTAATGGGTTTCGTTTCTCCTTTAATTTTTAGTCTTTTTCAGACTATTTTGGGTTGTTCACCTTTCGGTTCTAAATCCTCACCTGACAGTTAAATACGTAGTCTTCATAAAATATCACTCTCGAATCTCGACATCTAAGCGCCATCGCCTCATTTTCCTTTTTCAAATTAATACACTTCGTTTCTCCAATAATTACCTACAAAAACTATTCGTGTAGCTGGTTTTCGTCTCTTTTCACCTGGGATGGAGTTAGGAACCAAGAACAGACAAGTAGATTGAAATTTATCTATGCCACCTGGCATAACCTTTCTTCCTCGGTAAAATATAAAGATAAATTATTCTCAATACGCTCGATTCTAATTATTCTTTTTTTAAAGTCTATACAATTATACCTAATATATTTTCAATAATAATTTATTCTGGTGTATGTAGGTGTATAACAATGTATATAAAATAATTGTTTAATTAATTTACTATTTTATTAATAATTTAAGATTTGAGTAATTTTACTTAACCATTATATCAAATACTATTTTGTTGAACTTAAAATTAGTTTTTAAAATAAAATTCAACATAAAATATTGTTTGATATTCAAAATAAATGGTTTAATTTTTCGAATTAAGTTTATTAATGAATCAGTTGATAATCTTTTAGTGGTTTTACAATGGTTGTTATTTATTTTTTTTTCTGTGATCAACTTTTCTACCAGAAATTTTTCTTAGATTTTCAAGCATATTATCTTTTTTAAAAGGAAATCTTGTTTGGATGGTATTTTAAGAATGATATTTTTTGGTTTTCTAAGCAGTTTTCATAATAATTAGAAAAAACTGGGAAAACGTAGGAGAGAGGGAAAATTTATGATATATATTACTTTCAATTTTGTTTTTTGTTTTGATTCAGTTAAAAATATTTGTAGGGGTACAAAACTCATATTTGGCTTTTCTAGACGTTTTTTTAAAAATAATTGAAAATTGAAACAGATAATAAACATATCATTAAATCGTTATTATTTGAAAACTGTTAAACAGCTCACAAAATAGCTTAGGCCATCTGTAAATTACTAGACCAGACATTTCAAAGCTGATTCTCGTCACACGTTCGAGGCATTGTTTACTTTTTCATAGAATCATAGCCGTCCGTCTAACTCTTATAAACTTATTCTCATAATAATCGTATATAATATATATTGCGGTATGGTGTGATTGGCTAACGATAGCACCACTAATCAAAACTGTTGAAATTAGGTGTTATCAGATTACTAATGATCTAATGCTTTGTATTTTTTTAGATTCATTTTTTTATCATTATTATTATATATATTTTTGTCTTGTATTTGTATTGATTATCGAAATTAAAATATGTATTAAATCATTGTAGAAGCCTCTGACCGTTAATAAAAATAAATAGATAAATATATTCTCTCAATAATAGCAATAATAAGGTTTTTTTTTTCAGAATCCGTTCAACAAAAATACACACAACAAGATGGCGAAGCGATAGCGAAAGATTTAACATGTGTGTATTATTTTTAAATTTTGGTGGGGTATATAAAATAAAAAAAAATAAAAAAATAAACATCTTAGTAAAACTAATAGCTCCATCGCTACGATCGGAATCTAAAATAAAACCATTAATAATATGATATCAATTATAAATATTACGGTTTATGTATGTGTATTTTTACAGTATACAATTGTCGTGGTCCTCTTAATGCGGACGACGGTGGTCTGGTACAAACCAAAACTTCATTTTCAGACAGTAAGCTACTTATCCGGTATTAATAATGCATTGTTCTTATATACAGTGTACACAATTTTACGCTACAACAATTTTCTCTTATAAAAATACAAAATAGAAAATAATGTATAACGAAACATTTGTAATAAATAAGGTAATATAAAATTATAGTGGGTTTGCATATTTAGACGCCCTTTGGGGTTAATTTTTGGAATTAAAATGCTATACTACATTCAAAATTCCATAGATTAAAATTCTGTAAACTTTGTGTATGTTTTAATATTTATATACTCACTGAAGTTTAACTTTGGTATTTTTGGTACTAAAGAACTTAAGCCAATTTTTGTCATTTTAGGTTTGCCTTTATTTTGTGTAATTTCTTTTCTTTAATTTTTTGTCTAAATTACATAAAATTATTTTTAAAATTGAATTTGCTTGTATTGACAACCGTACAAAATTGACTTAAGTCTTTTCTCCTTGGGTTAAGGATACATAGAGAATGACTTTAAATTAATTCACTCACCACTCTCCCTTCCTATTGTGTAGCTTTATAATCATGTTTAATTTTCCCACATATTAATCCACCAATGAAAAATTATGTATGGAGGAATTTTCATGGTTTAAAAAAAAAATTTCTTTTTGTTCTTTGCAATTCAGTACCTCGATCTGCCAAATCGAGAGTCAGAGTGAGCGGCAAAAGAGGAAACCAATTTAAAAGTGAGTTGTTTTCTTTGGTCTACACACGGTATATTATATTTTATCTTATAGGTACTTCCACTTTTATAAAAATATTATTGATTTTGAAATGTGTACTGTTGTTTTGCAGACTTCATGTTGAGCAGGGACACGTCTAAAGGTAAAATATGTATACGCTATACTGAATCCGAGTTCTCCCTGTTTAACATAATATCATTATTACGTTCGACGTTTTTTCGTTTTTTTCAGACGCGGCCAGTCAAGTTCAAAAAGGATCGTATATACCAGTAAAGGCCAACGGAAAAAGAGACGTATTGTATCCTCCTACAAATGTATACGGTGAGTTTTTCCGCATTTTCTGTATTCGATTTCAATAATAAGAGAAAATGATATTTCGAATTGTTACTGATAAGACCACAACTCGACTATACATACATGTTTATGTAGAAATAAACCACCAAATTTTGCGATTAGTTTCTGTACAATTTATGTGCTCGCATGATTACAGTATCATCAATTAGTTATTAACTATATTATTTTTGAAAAAAAATATAGTAATTTATTGAAATTCGTTTATATTTTTTAAAGCATAAAAATAGAATATTATAATTACACATAATAAATAAATAATTACATATATATATATATATTTAATATATAATACAATATATTTATATCTTAAAAAATGTAACAGAGTCGTTTCTAAATTTGTTTTATATAATATATAGATATTTACACGGGATACAACGACATGGATCTCTTTCAGAAATGGCTGTCGTCGTATTATCTACAATAATAGCCGTCGAACTTCGTACGACCATAAAATTCAACCATCGTTGACCGTCGATTATTCGATAAGCGTCCGCGTAGAAAGCTTTCTAGTCTTGCGTAGTCTCTGGAGCCTAGATTATTAAAATATCAGTAAATTGTTATATTTAATAGGTACAACTAATTAAAATTGATTATGTTTTCAATTATATAGGTATTTTAATAACAATAATAATAATAAATGAAAATTTATTAAAGAAATAAGTTCGTGTTAGTTTTTATACTCGTATACCTTAGTATGTTTTTTAAGTTTTATTCCAGGTTTTCCCAATTATCAAAAAGATTGCAAAAAAAAAAAAAAAGGGAAAAAATAACCTTTCCATTCCAAAATATATTTAAAATGATACACAAAAAGCCTTCCGGTCGTTGTTTGATTCGAGCAAGATTTGTGACAAACAAATTGTTAACCGACAGAATAAAAAAACATATAATAATATAAATATATTCGTCGTGGCGATCAGAATTTAAAAGAAAAATAAAGTAGAATATAATTTATGAATATTTTTTAAAATTAGAGATAGATGTCAAACTTATATTCCGCAAAATGATGTTTAGTTTAGTTTTAAATATTTTTTTAAAAACGTTTAAACCTTCTTTTTTTTCACTAAAAAGCAGTTAAGATTACTTTACTTATGAGTTTATTGATATTTTTTTGGTCACTTTTTACAGATAGGTAATAGTAAATTTCATAAAATATTTTATTAAAATTAGTTGATAAAAAATAATCATTTTATATTCTATATATTCAATAGTGCTGGGATTTCAATACATTTTATTTGGTTTTTTGAAGCTTGTTGTGGAATGCTAATTTGTTATACAAATTCGTTCCGTATGTATTTTTGAATGCGATAGGATATTTTGTTTTGTATTTTGAAAAAGATTTATTTCAAACTCATTTTCTTTATTTTTTAGAGCATTTTTAGGTTTTTGAAACTAAATACGAATTTGGAATTTTATTTTAAGATTTTTAAAAATTAGTAGGATTTTTATATAACAAACTATTATGACTGTTTGTATTATATTATCTGACAATATTAATGTCAACTGATAGCGAGTGCAATATTTAATAAATGTTTCGGAGAATATAATAACTTTTAGTTTTAAGTAAACAAATTTTTAAATTTGTTTATTGTATGAAACTGTATGGATAATAGATTACTTAAAAAAAAAAAAAAAAAAATGTTCGATTAACAAAATTAAAATCATGCGAGTTATCTTACTCGTAGCTTACAAGTAATTTTACCGTGTTACTAATATTCCCAAGGCTGGGCTAGTGAATAATATCTTTTAACTCAGTTAAGTTAAATTTTTTTTTCAATTAAAAATTATGTTCATAGATATTTTGAGTGCATAAATTAAATTAAAAAGTAAGTTAAAAAATACTTTTAACTTAACTTAACTTAACTTCAATTAATAAGTTAATTAAATTTAAAAAAAAATCAATAATTGATTAGATATTTAAAATTAAAATACCTAATTAAAGTGAATGCAAATATGAAATATTGCCAATGTATGTATTTTAAAATCTGTGGAGTTGTAACAATTATAGAAGTAAAATCATAATTTAGACCTAAGAGTAACCTAAATTTAAATTTGAATGTAAAAATGGTAACTGTATTTTTAACATTTACAATTTATTAATTTGCAAAAATAAATAACTTAAACAAAGAAATACAAAAAATTATCTATTAGTTATAAATATTTATTCATTCTAATAACAGATAGGTATCTAGTACCTAAGTAATACTCAAGTAGATATGAATATAAGCTGTGGTTCCTGTCTATTTATGACTTTATTATTATGATAAATTAGTTCCACATATTCATATATAAATATTAAATTTATTATTATTTTTTTTTTAACAATATTCGATTTTGAATATATGGTTTTTAACATTCTAATTACTCTTAAATTTATGAACTTCTAAAATTTTAAATGAACCACAGTAAATAAATAAAATATTATTCTGGAAAATATGAAAATTCAAAATTAATTTAAATAGGAATAATACAAAGAATTTAAGTTAATTTTAAGTTAACGTAGAGGCAAATTAGTTAAGTTAACCTTAACTTTATTAAAATAGCAAACTATTAAATTAAATAAACAAGTTGTATGTAACTTAACTTTAACTTATTAATCCTGTTAGTTACCAGCCTCGAATATTCCTATGTTAAAAAGCTATTGATTTTTACAATATGATAGCCAGTTATGCCATGAAGAACTTTGAGAGTACATGCTGTAAAAAAAAGTATCCACCTACTGACAGCATTTTATTTTTATTTTTAAGGTTTCTTAACATGTTTCTCTGTAGGGAAACCAATAATACACCGATAATTTACCATGCGGCCCTCCTTTAAAGGCACCAAATTCAGTTACATTACTTTTATGAGTCACTTAAAATATCATAGTATTGAAAAAATATTTGTTAATCCTAGAAAATATATTATTAAATAATTGATGGGGGGAGGCGTGAAAGGAGAAACCTTGTCTTAATAGTACTAAACCTATTTTTCACATCACCTCACGTAAAAATTTAAGCACATTGTTCACTTTACATATTACAATACTCCATCGTTTGAGTTCGGACAGCGTTAATGAATAATTCATCTTATTGTTCGTATTAAACGCAACAATATTCGAACATTCACGCAAAAGTTGCAGGGATCGGAAAATTGCATATATAATAGTTGAAATCTAATATTATATTCCTGTCAGAATCTTCGCGGACCATGTCAAGAAGTTATAATGTAATAAATTCAAGGAAAATCACGATTATGCAGGACGTAGTTCCTAATCTGACCTAACCGGAAAATAAAATACCTACATTTAAAAAAAAATCAAAAAACAAAAAATAATTGTCTAAGTGGTTAATAGTTAGGTTAAATTTCAGAATGAATTTCAACGTGTTGTTTCAGGAGAGTATTTTTTTTGTTACCTTTAAACATCCGTATAGAACTGCTCCCACATATATTTATGTGGAATGAATTTTATACGCGCATGGCGTTGATATCAAGGATATGTTTTTTGGTGGTTCAAACCCTCCAATCGTATCATTCTTGTGACCAAATTTTACATATGTTTAGTTTTGGAATAGTATATCACTAAGTATAGTTGTGTGTTATTATACATAGTATTTTCGGTTATTAATTGTTTCAGAAATAATATTTCTATATTATACAAAATAGGTGGTGGAAATTCGATTTTATAATACAGCTGTACTGCTCATGGCTTTCTATTTTTTTGACATGTTTTTTATTTTCAATTTATTTTTGTAACGCAGTAAGCTATTTAGGAATGTCATTTCAATATCTTATAAGGGGTGGAAACATTCTACGAGACCACCCAAGGCACCGAGCCAATTATTTTAAAAATAATTCTCATATATTTATTAAAGCATTGTTGTCATGAAATTGATTACAACTGTATAAAATATATATACTTATAGCATATTACTTGTATACCTATAGATAAAAAAAAAGACGTCCTGGGAAAACGGGGACGGATGCAGCCACTGTTATAGGTAATTTAAGGTACCTGTAAGCAACGATAAACCATTGCTTGAGAAAAAACAATTCTGAATGGATATTTGTTTAATGTTGTACCGATTTTCCCAATTTTTGTATGTTTTTTCCGGTTTTCCCATGTTTTATTCCGGTTTTTCAAATTTGGTGAGAAAAATCCAGAGAAAATCGAAAAATGACCCCTTTAAAGTATCTCCCTAGTGAAATTTCCTTTTAGAACATTCCTATCATTAATAGTTGAAGCAAAATTGCTGGTAGAAAAATTGTTCACAGAAAAAAAAAAAATCGTAATATTATACAAATATATTTTGTACATTTTTCCGTTTTTTTTTTTTCAGGTTTTCGCATTTGATGAGAAAATATTTGAGAAAATTGAAAAATGATTTGTTTAAGGTAGCTTTCCGCACCGGTTTCCTTTTAGAAAAGGTGCAATATTTAAAAATCGGAACAAGTACCCTGATAGAAAAGAAATAAAAAAAAATCAACATTTTGTAAAACCATAAGCTTCTTCGCTCTACTCAGAATCTAAAAGTGAAATAGGAATGAAAACTATGTCTTATATCTACAAATGATTGGTCAAACTGGGGCAAGCTGGGCAGTACAGTTAGTAAATTTACAATGTACATATTATAGGTGGTATAATTTATTTAAGTTTTCATCATACAGTTTTACATTATTTTAAAATTTGTCTTATACTCATTATGTACAAATTCAAATAACTTATCAATGAAACTTACGCTACAAAACGGATTTATATTTAAACTATAATTGTGTTAATCGTAGATAAAAATTACAAGAGGGTGCGAGTACACACCCTGCCCCCAAACGGTGTCCTTGAAGCTCTACCAGCTCTATAAAAATATTTGTTGACAACTGTGGGTTTATTTTTACCTTTTGATTGCCTCGGTTTCCGTTCGATTATTTCTGGTTTTTGCTGCCGTTCCCACGGCCGGGTATCGTATCATTTCGCTGTAGCTTCGGGACAGACACAATACTTGGGTTTCTGGGGGGCGCCGTAAGTGTTGGACTCCCAACGATACTGGACCTGGTTAACCGTTCAACTGTATACAATATTATTCCAAATGCTACTTAATCTCAAAACGTTCACAAGTTTTTACGCACAGGAGGTCAATAATTTAATAGCATACGGTAGGTAAAAAAAAACAAGATTAGACTATGTGTTAATCTAAAACGGAACTCCCCAATTTGTTAATTGCTTCAAATCTGATACTGTCCCACGGAAGTTGCTATCCTAATAAGCGTTAAATTGAAACCTAGTCGATGAAAAACTTTTGTAACGGGTTTAGATAGAGCAGGTTGGGAAATGGGAAAACCACGTCGGGTTGGCCACGGGAATCGGTCACAGGGTTCTGATCGAGGTTATTTTAAAAAATATCTTTGGGAAAATTGTTCGTATCCCATAATAAGTATATTATAACGTTAATATCGACAGAAATTATTATTTTGTTCACTAACGTAATCGACTGTGAAATAATTTCAATTTATGAAAATCGATAAGCTCAAGTAAGCCGTTTCATAATAATAATATTGTCGATGAAATAACAATTGTTTCTCTTCATTTATTAAGATTTGAGATTATGTTGTATATCAGTAAGTATTATTATATTATTGACCAACCGTGAAAAATGATTCACAATAATAATAGGTTTTCGTATCTACCTA